CGTGCCATGCTATGGGGAAGGAAAACAAGTAGCTTTTCTTGTCCACCATTAATTAATTGCCAGTCTTAGTGGAGGACATGAACAATACATTTTATTTTGATGTAGAAGTGTAAAGTTGGGGTGAAGTGACCTGGGAGCCCTGAGGTAGGAACATTTCTTCTCCTGAGGGGAGTTGCCAGGGACAGTGTCCACAAAGGATTTTATAGTGGAGGTGATGTTTGTGTTGAACTCTGAAGGATGAGCAGCCAAATTGGAGTGGCATTTCAACCATACCACCTCCCAAAACACAGCTCACTCTTTTGGGAAGTATGACCAATGTAAAAAATGACTGTATATGAAATAATCTATATTTTCTCTATCTGTATTTATTATACGGACTTCTGCAACAGATTCTTAGAGCCAGGAGAAATTTACGTCTTCTAATGATCCAGCATGCTTACTTTTATCAGTGAGAACTTAAAATCCTATTGTACTTTACTCTTGGCTGCCAGGAATCTTGGTACTAACATCTGAGTTTAAATCAGAAATGTTTTCTTTAGCCAAATTTTTTCTGGTAAATTCTTTTGCTCTTTTTTTCCCCCCATTCCCCAAACCCTTTAATTTTGCCTTGGCCATTTTATTGTTGCTTAAATGGGTTAGGGTTTTATTACAGTAGTACAAGCCCTTCAAATCCACTTTGAAAGTAGCCAAAACATAAATGGCCATGGAAATGGAAGGCTGAACACAGTCACTTGTTGGCATTCCAAACTGTAGAACCAGGATATTTCCAGGGAGCTGAGGACAGATGCTGGCTTTTGGTTCTTTGGGACATTATTGCCAACCTGCTCCCAGCACCATCATTACCGCCTGAGCATTTGAAATGAGTTTTCTGTTCTCCTATCTTGTATGAAGATGCTGGCTAATGACTGACCAGGCAAGATTGGGGGCTCCCCTACTCACTAGGGGGAGTAAGCCTTCTTCTTTGGCCAAGTGCAATCTGCAGCTGATGACTCAGAATCTAAATTGTTAAAACTGGGAGAGACCACATATCATTTAGCCCAGTCTTCTCATTTGATAGACCCAGACAGGTTAAGGTATCCTGAGGTCACATAGTTAGCTAGCCAGTGGCAGAATGAGATGAGAACCTTTATTTCTCAACTCTAATTTCAGGGTTCATATGTATTAGTCTAAGACCTTTTGAACTGATTAGACTTGCATTTTACAAAGAGCATTGGATTAGAGACTTTTGCCATACCTCTGTGACCTTGAGCAAATCACTCAGTCTCATTGAATTTAGTTACCCATTGGTAAATGGAGGTAATGTATTCCTTGCCTCATGGGTTACCTTCTGCCATCCCAGGTACAAATCATGTGCATGTATATCCATCTTTTTCTTCTTCCGCATTTTCAAAGGAAGACAAAAATGTGACTCCTTCAGGCTCAGGCTGATCTCTTTCCTGTGCATTGCATCCCAGCTCCTTTCCTCTCAGCTCTCATGAAACTTGCTCAACTATCAGCTGTCTCCATTGCTCCATTTCTTTTTTTGTAACAGAAGTGCTTTGCTCTCCCGTGGGTCTTTGTGGAATTCTTCTTCATGAACTCCCTTTTCCTTTCCTTCTTACTCATCTTCTAGTTCTTCCATTTTTGACTGCTCTGACTGCCCAAGATACCTCACTCCCTTTCTCCTTAGTGCTCTCCTGAGCTCTGTATAGTGTAAACTTCTGGAGGGTAGAGATGGTTTTATTCATTGTTGTATTTGAAATATAGTAATGTTTAAATGAATAAATAAATGACTTATGAGGTAACGTGGAATCCCTCTCAAAACTATACTATATATACATATATGTACATACACATATGTATATGTATATGTTTATGTTCATGTATATATATGTATTTGAATTAAGACTATCTCTAAACCTGTTGCTGAATATTTTGTCTTTGGAAGGGAGATCCTAAATCCCTTCTCAGTCATCTTAGCAGGTAAGGATCCAGGCTGATTCTGATCCTGTCAGGTTTCCTTGGGGAGTAAAAATAAGCAGCAGTACAAGGTTTAAAACTCTGGTAGGAGAAAACAGTTTTAGTCAGTAGAACTAGGGTAAAAATAAAATTAGCGAGGAGACAGAGCTAGTTTCTGCGAAAAATAAACAACTGAATTAATAGAGACCAGCTAGCTGTAAAATAACCTGAGTTTCAGTTTATTCCATACACAGCAAAGTTTAAATGCAACATTCACTTTTCTCCATGTACTTTATTTCTGATTTAGAGCTTATTAGTCCCCAAACTACCTTCTGAAATGCCGACTAACTAGCTGTTTAATTATTCTCTATTATCCTCTTTGGAAATTAGGAACTGGAAGAGCTGCTAAGGCCCTGAAAAATAATCTCTGGGCCAAGGGAAGGATTTCCACCCTATGATTTGAACTTACTACTCAAATTAGTTTACTTGAAAAGCTAAACTGTAGAGCAATGCTTCTCAATTTTAAATGTGTACACAAATTACCAGCTATTGTTAAAATGCAGATTCTGATTCAGTTAGTCTAGAGCAAGGACCAAGATTCTTCGTTCCTGGCAGGCTCTCAAGTGAGGCTGATGCTTCTGGCCCACACATCACACTTTGAGTAGCAAGAGTTTAGGAGAGAGAGCAATTAGAAGTGTGAGCTCTTTGAAAGCTAACTCTGCTGTTTCTTTGACCTGGAGTCATGGTTATATTGATAGCAGAAAGCTTGAAGCCAAGGTCTTGGCTTGGAGAAAAAATATTGAGAGAAACACTTCTGCCATGTCCTAAGTAATTCATCCCCATCTTGGGAGTCTGAGAGGGAACCACTGCATTATAACAATAACTGATATTCATGAAGATGACTTTGAATTCTGTTCAGTGACTCTCTAGAACGCAGGCAGGGAAGTATTCATTAAAGTTCAGATATATTTTTGTCAGAATGATTAAAACCAGTTATGCTTACATGGAAAAACTGAACAGCTTGGAAAAATCACTATGAGGAAATCTTCATTCTTGAAAGATAAGCATGTACTATAGTACTTTGCAAATAGGCTTTTTGAGATGCCATCTGCCACTTGACATCTGTCTAGACCAACAGTAGCATTCTAGATTGCTCTTCCAGTGAGGAGTATAAATGGAATCTTCTCTGTTGAGGAAAGTAGGCCTGGCATTGAATCCTGTCTCCAACACTTACTGGTATTGAGACTTTGGGCAAGTTCTCAATTCCCTGTGCCTGTTTTGCTTTGCTACCTGTAAAGTGGTCATATTACCGTTTCATCCCAGGGTTTTTAAGAAGAAAAGATATGTGAAAGTTCTTAGTGTAGTTACTATCACTTCACCATTATTTTTCCCCCCTGCTTTGATCTTGGTGGGCAACTTGCTGTGTGCCATTTGGCAAGTAGTGATTCATCTTGGCTACCTCTCACCTGAACCTCCTCATTGGCTGCTCTTGGTAGGAGACGTGTTGTGTGGTATGCATACCTTTGTAAACTTCTGCAAATCTCTGGAACCCATAAGGAGATGAGAGCTGATGATATTGCTTCTCAGAGTAGACAGAAGAGTACAGGTGAACCTTTTTCACAAGGCAAAGACAGTGGGGCTCCCATAAATACATTTTGTCTTTATACACATTTTGTGTTAAACACATGCATACACACATTTGTCTTGTATGGGAATAAGTTAAGTGATCCGTGCTCTATCCCCTGGGTCTCTTCCAAACATGGTCCTCATTTGATTTCTCTAGCTGAGGTGGTGATAAGATCAGTTCTTAGTCCTCTAAGTTTAGTAAGGGTGTGGGTGTCCAGTTTCTTTTGTCCTGTAATCTTTGAATTGCAGTGGCCTTGGTCTGGAGAGCTGTGGTTTGTCTTTGGTTAGATCAGGCACACCCAATATACTTGGCTTTCCTATGCTCTTCCCCTTCCAGCTGTGCCTGTCTGACTTTTAACTTCTTTGTATTCTTATCTTTAAAAGCAGACAACTTGGAAACGAGAATTCAGTTGCTGCTCTGTGATTGTTCCTGTGCCCTTCCCACCTCTGAGGTTTTGTTTATTGGCAGCTCTCATTTCATAACCTGCTGTTCTCTGCTTAGCCTTTAAGACTACTGACTCACTAAAGACTTGGCTGCGACTTCTCAGAAATAAGACTTAGCATTCTCACTGGCTTTAAAGTAGTATTTCCAGATCAAGTCTTAAACTCTTACCTTATTCTGTAGTTCTGTAAATAATGTCTATCAACCTATTATATTACTTTTTTAGACCTAATACCCGAAACTACTTCTAACCAGTGACCTGGATATAGGAATCCCTGGTTTCAAAGTTGCTTCTATCTTTGCTGTATGACTGTTAGCAAATGATTTAACCACAATGGGCTTAAGTTTACCTTCACCTGTAAAATTAGGATTGGATCAGAAGTTTTTTAAACATTCTGTGGAGTTGGTTGGGAATGACAACAAAGCTCAGTGGGTAGGAGTCCAGGCCCTTCAGTCAAATGGTTCTACTTTTATTTATGTATAGATGGCTTTTGCTATTAAATAAGTTGGAAAAACCACTGGACAGCCTTGGCACACTATGATCCCTTCTAGCAGTAGCATCTGTTTTCAGATTTGAGGAGGACACCTAAGCTGTATCACGGTACTCCACATCACCTACAGTCTGGTTCCTGAGACTTTTCTAGCCTACCAGCCCAGCCTCCCTGTCCCTCTCCTGCTCATATTATTCCTAGCAGCACGTGGATTATTTTTAAGCCTCCCTTCGCCCTTCAGTCCAACCCTTTCAAGACTGTAGTATAAATGTTCTGTCCCTTCAAGAGACCTTCCCCAAGTTGGCCATTTTCCCAAAGTACCTTTTCCACTCTATGACTCAGTACACTTTGCTTTGTCTGGCAGTTGAATGTATAAAGCTCAGAATGTATAAAGCTCAGATCTTGATTTCTTCATTCTAAACCACCCCAACGTCTAGCATTGTACCATTCTGAAAGTGCCATGGATCCAAGACATATGGCTTAAAAACTCTTTTCTCTTTCAGGACCGAATCATCAATTTAGTTGTTGGCAGCTTAACATCTTTACTGATTCTAGTAAGTATCTGTATTTTGTGCCTCACTCAGGCTCTTAGCCAAAGTTATAAAAACTTTAGTATTGTGGTTCAATTAACTCTCCAAAACAAAACAGAACAAACTTAAAGGGCTAATACATGAACATGTGAAGCGTTCCAGTCATAGTTAACGTTTTCAATTACCAAAAAACCGCAATTGGCAACTGGAGTAGCTAATTTAATTTTCACTCCTACCCCCTAGTCAGATATGTGAAATAGCACCACTGAGACAGTTTGACTTTCAGATAACCAAGTTTGCTGTTTGGTTGTCCACTAATTTGTTAAAATGTCAGTGGCTACCAGCAACTCCCTTTTGTCATAACCCACCATAACTCCCCATTTTCGTTAATACCCTCAGTTAATTTTGTTCCTAAAAAACATCCATTACTCTTTGGTCAAGTTTAAAAAGATTTGGTCAGTCTATAGTAATTTTCCATAGTCTGATAATGAATTTGTCTGGCACATTTTCATCAAATTTGTTAAAAGAATTTTAGTAAAGTTTTTTCCATGGCTTATTAATAAAAAGAATGGGTATGATGCTTAATCTGTGGTAGAAACAGAACTAATAGGGCATTAGAAACCCATCTTCTGGCATTTTTTGTAATGCTAAAGCAAAACCAGCTTTGATTATATTCATTTTCGATAACAGTATTCAAAATAAAATGGTTAGAACTTTTTCTAGTATAATCATTAATCCTGGGAATGAGGTTTAAATTATTTCCAATCTGTTAATGAGGTTATTTTGAGATTAGCTAGCTTTACTGATGTTTTATCTCCTTTCATAAGTGAAGGAAAAGTTAGAAAAGGAAGAGGTACTAAAAGAAATAACTTGAACATATTTACAAATACTGTATTAAATGTTGTATTAACATTCCAGAACGCAAACCTGGTAATAGACGTAATTTTATAATGTGAAGCATTTTTTATTACATTGCCTAGACTATACTCTAACCAAGTCTTAGAATTATTGTTTAAAGTCTTATATAATTTCTCTTCATACAGGTAACGCTGATCAGTGCTTTTGTTTTCCCTCAACTACCTCCAAAACCGTTGAATATATTTTTTGCTGTCTGCATCTCTTTGAGTAGTATTACTGCCTGCATACTTGTGAGTACTATTTAGAATTTAAATGGCATGTTTTTGAGGGCTTAATGTTGCTGTAGTGTTTAGGAGACTCAGCCTTGGTCTATATAGAAGGGTATCTTTGATTACACACCCTGCTCCCCCTGAAAGGATGTCAGAATTCTCAAATCAATATAGCACACTTTTTTTGGAATCTGAGTTTCCTTTTTTCCCCCTAAATCCCAAAGTTATAACCCTAAAGGGAAACTGTTCGCTTGAGAGAAAATATGAAATAATAAAATTAGTGAAAAGACTATGTGGCCAAAGATTTGATGTAATTTACTTAACTCATCTTCACTCAAGAACTGTATAATGGGCTCAAGAGGCTCTGGGAGATGCCAGTTATTGCTTTTAGGGAAGGTAGAGCACTCTCGCTTTCTAATGATTACAAAATTAGTCTATTTTAATCGATGTGCTTATCTCCCAGTGGAGGTAGTTCTCCCAAAATGGAGGTAGTTAACACCCAAATCTCCTGGAAAACTTAAAGCTGTGCTGTTTCCTTGTTGAAAGAATGTTTAATTTTATTACAAATAGGCCCTTCTTTTATGGTAAGGAAACAAAGGTGGTGGTTCCTCAGTGTTGTCATTTATTAGTTGATTATTGTTTCATGTCCCTTGAGAGGCAGAATCAAAACAGTAAATACTTAAAAACAATTGTTTTGACTCATATAGGGCTTAAATCATAATAGTAATTTGTTTAGTTGAGTTAAAATTAAACCTGGAGACATCTCTACGTATTATAATAAACTGATCCTGCTACATTCCTATGACCTGGAGGAAGAAATGGCATATCCCACTTTGGGAGACTTCCTGTTCCCCCGAACCGAGCTGGTTTGATCCAATTGTATATATGAATTTAAAAGTAGTCTTCCTTTCCAGTCTCTAGAAAAGTTATACCTTTTACTCAGATATATTTATAATATAACCAGGTGTATATGTTCTTAGATAGCCTGCCAAATAAAGGCATGACTATACAGGTTTGAACATAGAATACAGTTGGAATTATGATCTTGGATATGGAAACTCAAATGGTACTACTATAATATAAAGAATAAGAATTAAATTCTGGCTGCATTGGTCTCAGGAACATAAGATTAATATGAGACTGTCTGATTTAGGAGAATAAATACTGATGAAATTGGTGGAAAAAAATTAGTTTTTATTTTACTTTGTATTTTAAATTTTAATAGTTGGCCCAATAGCTATTAATTAAACTTTTATTTAATTCTTCTTTTAGATCTACTGGTATCAACAAGGAGACTTAGAACCGAAATTTAGAAAGCTTATTTACTATATCATATTTTCTATCGTCATGTTATGTATATGTGCGAACCTGTATTTCCATGATGTGGGAAGGTGAGGCTGCCAAGGAGAAAATACTTACCAGGACTCTTCAAAATGGTTTATTTAGGACAGTGAATTGTTGGATAAGGGATGCTGAAGAATCTTCCTGCCAGAAGTCTGATACGTGACTTTCACGTTAATTGTAAATCTGAATTCCCTTTTGTGAGGGAGACAGATCACTTTGCTTTTTCTTTGAGGAGTTGATGTTGCACTTAAAACATTACAACCCTTAAAGTTCAAACAGCAGAAGTAATTTTCACTTTTAAAATTAAAATTTTTAAAAATGTAATTGCATGGCAGAAGGCTGTGTAACAAACAAAATCTTGCATTTTAAGACAAATATTCTTTTATTTCTGTTAAACTGAATATACAATTATTGTTCCCTAGGCAACCAACTTTTGCTTATAAGTTCAAGGTAACAAAACAGACAGTGAAAAGACAATTGATTGTGAAGATCTAATTACAACAATAAATAAAATAACTTATACAAGGTTGGTTTTTTGTGTGTGTGTGTGACTTTTCTATTGGGGTCATATTCATTAAAAGCCCTAGAAGCTAGTTTTGGCTTAACCCTTCTCTAGTATAGGAATGACTCTTGATTTGTTTCCTGTTGTTACAGAAGCAAATTGTTTTGTTTCTTAAAATTGCCTGAGAGGGATAAGTTACAATTATTGTACCCCCAATAATACCCACAATTATTTTCTGGGTAATTTATATAGCAAAGCATGTAATAAATGGTCATGGTATCAAGGATAGGCAATATTATTACCTCCCCTTCCCCATTCAGTTTAATTTTACTTCAAAGTGCTAACTTTGTGAACTACTGACAATGGTTTCTGAGGGGGTCGAAACTGCTTAGTAGCTTCTGGTGGGTTTTCTTACTACTCGTACCCATATTCCCTTTAAAAGTAATAAAAAACCTGTAGTGAATTTTGACTCTTAATGCTTTCCTCTTTGTCAGCTCCCACTGCCAGCAATGGGTTACTCAAAAGTAACCGCCACATAATCACTTCCTAGGTCTCTGTATTTATATGCTGGTTAAGTCTCAATGGTGTTTAATCTTTTTTAAGGTCACTGATAAGCCCTACACCATACTGATATGACTTCATATGGATATGAAATATATATCCAGGCCTACCTGAAAATAGAGCGCCATGTCTGTTCTTTAGAGATGAATATTACTGCTTTAAACCAGAGCAGTTAAGCTTTGGCAGTTTTAAACTTTTCTCAATAGGTGAAGTGAACAAAATTTCCTACTGACAAATAATACTAAACAAAGGGATCTATGTAGTTAAAATTCCCATACTCCACTCGACTACAGCCAAAAAACTGGACCTTAGGTGATGTAAAGGAGGTAAAAAGTCATAGCAGCAGCAGCTATTTTAAATGGTAATTAAGCCCCTTGGGGGTTGCTCCTACTGAAGATGTAATTAACAGTGTGGCTTCTTGAGCTGCCCGTTTCTAAGAATTACCTAATGACAGTTTACCAAATCCTCAACGTCCTTTGAGTCTTCTGAAATAGGACTGCCCAAAGATGATCCAATGATATTTGATTCTTCTTGATGATGGAGTATGGGATCTGTAATAATTGAATTAAGTTTCAGGTTAGTCTTAAATGTATGTATGTATGTATGCTCTAATCCATGTCAAGAATTTTAAGTATTTTACCAATAGCATAGGATTTAACTAGCAAGAAGACTAATATCTTTATTATTGGATCAAGAAAGACTAAAACCTGAATTTAAATGTCTGACTGATTTTCCCCTTAAGGCATACAATGTGAGTTGTATTACAGTACCTGTTAGTGTTGTCAAAGGCAAGACAGATTCAGTATCTATAACATCAGATGCCTGGATAAAGCCATGTGGTGAAGGAACGATAAGTATAGTTTCATCATCAATTGTTTGATCAACTTGTTCTTCAATGGTAGGAGACTCTAAACCCTAAATAATATTTTTTTTTTTAAAAAAAAGAGGGATGAGATTCACTCTCAAATTTCTCAGTTTCTAAGGTCTCAAGCATGTCTAGGTTTGACACAACTGGACTTGACTTCAAGACATATCTTGTTTTATAGTTAGAATATAAAGAAATGAAAGGTTACGGTTTTAAAAAAAAAGACAAAAGTTACCTTTAATGCCTCATAATCTACTATATATTAACAAAAAGGAACTTAAAAGAACCAATTCAGTTATAGTTCACTTGAACAGAGAAGAAACAATGCTGTTATGCTGTGGGATGAGGTTTCTAAAATGAACCACAAAAATCTATTACTAACCACTCTCAGGAAAATGCTTCTCTGGGTTCCAACAACCATTTCTTAATCTATTGCAGGTGGACAGGGGGAAATTTTAGTGAGAAACTGTGATAAGACAGCATAGTTTTCTTATTCTCTCTGACTGCCACAAAGATCTCTTTGCCTGTCCACTTAATGTCAGCAACAACACTGTCGGTTTACTGATACTTGTGAGGTCACAGGTAGGGGTCTGTACTTTTATTTTGCCAGTCTCAAGAAAAAAGTAAAGTACCAGAGCATATCCCTCTAAATGATTCCTAAGCTCTTTCCAAACTGCATGTTTGAGGCTCAAGGCAAGAACCCATCAGGCTATTCTCTTTATGTGCAACTTACCTCAGTAACATAAGCACTGGCTAAATCAGAAGGTGATTCCTCCTCTTGTTTAAGGTCGGTGTCAGAGATTTCTTCTTCCGTTCTGACCATAACACTACTCATCAGTTCTGTGCTATTTTGGTCACTGAATTTGGATACATGAGCATCATTAAATGATGGCTCTACAGTCATCTTAGGCTGATGAATTTCATCTGGGAAAGTGTCTGCTTCCAGGGCATCTGGAGGCTCAGGAAAATCAGATGACTGAATATCACTATCTACTGTCAGTTCTGCCCGGGATATGGAAGAAGTGATGTCCTCTGTGGCAACAGTCTGAATGATGACTCTTGGTGTGTGACACTGCACAGTGACATTATCGCTTGTGTTCAACAAATGTTCTGGCTATAAAATGTTAAAGAAAAAGTCAATGGCAAAATGATAAAGTACCCATTAGATTTAAGTTACACAACATTTAGAGGTGGTACCCCACTGTCCCCTCCCATACCCCCTGGAACTACAGTGTTTTTATCACTATTTTTCTAGAACCCTTTTCCTTTACTCACTGGGGCCCTTGCTCTCCTCTCCTAATGTCCCTATCCTAATGTACGTCCATCTCACATATGGAGATATAGGAGATGAGAGACCCCAGGGAGGCAGAGTGATGGTGTAAAACACTGGCCTGGGACAACAGTGGTAGGAAAGATTGTTTAGATAGCTGTACTACCTTATAGTTTTGGGGCTTATTTTCTATCAACTAATCCTGGTCTGTAACAGGTACTTAAAAATCAAGTAATTTATGTAACGTACAGATAAAGCATGAACAATAATCTGTTCAGGAGAAGCAGGAGCAGCAGTGGTCAGGGTTACTGTGGGACTGGCGGTCAGAGTTAGGGGAAGTCCTTGGCTTGAGCTTGTTTGAAGTAGGTAGGTGCCTGGAGTGCCAGTGGGCTGTAAATGGAAAGACTAAAGGAAAAAGAAAAATAAAATAGTTCAAGAATGATTAAATCTACCTTTACATCCCCAAACAGGGACTGACTTTACTAGCCACAAATGTACTTACTAGTCATGCAGGTGCACCATGACACAGTTTCATGAGCACACCCAATCATCCCTCTTTGTCCCTTCTCTGTAGCACATAAAAACTGACAATCTCCCAGTTTTTAAAAAAGCTTCACATTTTTGAAAAGGCAGAACAGCAGTGCTTACTTACTTGACTACATTTTTTCATAGTATAAGTTTAGGAATTTTTTTTATATTAAAGGAAAATGTACAGAAATAGCAATAAGCAATATTCTGCCAAAGGAAAAAGATTCTTATTTGAAAAACTAGTTAACTGATAATACATTTATCTTTTGAGATTGTGGGGGGGTGGGGTGGCTGGCTGGTAACCTTTGACTTTGGTGTTATCAACACTGTGCTCTAACCAACTGAGCTAACTGGCCGGCACCTTCTGAGATTTTTAAAGGAAGCATAACAAAATTATTTGCTAATGAATAAACCTTTCACAACCATAAGCTTCTATATAAAATTTGAGTTAGGTAAAGAAAATGTATTTGCACTTAATAACAAGTGTGGGAATTAAAATCATGTAGCCTGTTTTTTAGTCCAATGTAGTCATGCTGACTTAAACCAAAACAACTCTCCTGTTTACTGAGAATCGCTGCTAAAGTGGGGATAATAACTGCCTGTTATGAAAAGGTTTTGTTTAGGATTAAAAATGATTACGAAAGTGCCTAGTATTCGGTGGGGATTGAAATTTCCTTTCCTTTCCGTAAAAGTAAAAGCTAATCATTTTCCTAAAGGTTGCATGTATTAATCACCTATGGTCAGGCATTATTGTAAAGGCTTTATGTCTGCATGTATATTATATATGTATTTTACTTAATATACTTAAATATACTCTCTTAATATTTTGAAACTGAGGTACTGTTATCATCCCCCATTAATAAACTGAGAGAAGTCTCTAAATATTTGATTATGACATAAGGAAAAACCTGAACATATACCCCCCCAAAATATATATTTTTTGTTTATTCTACCTGTGTCGAATGGTTGTCTTACACATCTCTATTTTGGAGACCACTGATTAGGAAACTGAGACTTATGTTAATTAAACTGCCGGCAGAAGTTCCAAAGATGGAAAGAGAACCTTTTGCTGTGCTGGCCATCCTGCTGGGATACGGCTATGGAGAAGATGAATACTCTTGCACCAACACTCCTTTGTTCTTCATAGTAAATAAATCGATGTAATTTAAATAAAATTTATATTTTCTTCTTAATGAAATATGAACTCATTTTGGGTTTACTTGTTTCAGAAAGCAGGACAAGGATTGGGACTTCTTTTCTTTTCTATGTTCATCACTTCCAAAAGAAACCCCATTTCCCTGCAGCTGTAGGCAACCATTAATCTACTTTCTATATCTACAGATTTGTCTATTTAGACATTTCAAATAAATGGGAGCCATATACTATGTGATATTTTGTGTTGTCTGGTTTTTTTCACTTAGCATAATGTCATCCATGTTGTAGCATGTGTTGGTATTTCATTCCTTTTTATTCTTGAATAATAATTTGTATAGCAGTAGCACATTTTATTTATCCACTTATCAGTTGATAGACATTTGGGTTGTTTCCATTTTTTTGGTTATTATGAATAATGCTATAAATACAAACATTCGTGTGTAAGCATGTGGACAGATGTTTTCATTTCTCTTAGGTATATCTGGGATTAGAATTGGCAGATAATTTGGTAACTGTTTAACCTTTCTAGGAATTGCAAGACTTTTCCAAAGCAGCTAAGCCATTTAGGGACTTTTAAGTAGAAGTCTGATTTACATCTAGTCTCCTATCCATCTAGCCTCAAATTTTTATATTTCATCTGCTTCTATGATAGTGTTTTTAAAAATGATATCAACTCATCTTTCTTACACATAAAAATGTCCAATTACTATTTTATGAAGTATTACTCACTGGAAGAATCTCAAATGTCTGTAGTGTTCCGCTGTTTAGTGTTATTGTTTCCGAATCAACAGTAGCAGCAGGTGAGTCTGTTGAAGCTGTGGTAAGAACAAAGACAATAAATAAAATGCTTTATAAATTTAAATTTCTACAGTATACTCAACTGTCATGAAGGCAATTTCATTTTGAATAATTCACATGGAAACCTCAATTTGAAGTTTTTATGAGATAAAAAATAGATTTGTTTGGGATGGCATATAGATCAGGGGTCAGCTAACTATTGCCCACAGCCAAATCCAGCCTGCTGCAACTTTTTATAAATAAAGCATTAGTGGAACACATCCATGACCATTTCATTTATATATTTTCTGTGGTTGCTTTCACATCAGAACAGATTTGAATACTTGTGACAGACACCATAAGGCCCATAAAACATTAATTATCTAACCCATCATAGATACTAGTGGTTAGCAAAGTTTTTCTATCATAAAATGTTTCTAATGTTAGAAAGTAAGAGAAAAACATGAAGGCTACCCTGCAAAGAGACAGGAACTTGGTAAAAACTAATTTTCCTGGACATTCTGGTAAGCAGCATAGATGTCTGGATTGGTAATACCAAAATACTAGGATTTAGTTCTAGTGATACTTCTTAGCAATGTAAATATGGACAAGTAACTTAATTCAAACTAATGTTAAGAGATTTTATCTGTCCTGCCTACCTCATATGGCTGTGAGAATGAAAAGTACTTGTAAAAACAAGAAGTAAATATAAAACAGTATTATTTCAGAAGACCACATGTAGGGGACTGAATAGCACTTTAGAGAGCCGATAGTGTCATCTCTTCATAGGTGTGTCAACTGAGGCTCAGACTTGATCAATGTCTGCTTTAAATTATATAGGACTGAGACTAACTAGAAGAAATATGATCTCTTTTAGTGCTTTCGGTCATACCTGTAGGTAAATCCATGTGAAAAATGATTTGGAACTGACATTTAATGTGTAGTGTTTATTGTTATTTGGTATATTACATTCTGATTACAACGTTTCTTAGTTGTCTGAAAACAATGTAACACCCTTACCAATAGAAAAGCTCTTGATTCATGTTTTTTCTCTTACTATTTGATGGATTATTAAGATCACAGCTAGAATAATTTGAAGTGATTCCAAATAAATAACCTAAATCAAGGTGAGCAAGCTACTGTGGTCAGGGACAAATGTGACTCAAGTCTAAGAATGGTTTTAACATTCCTAAAGAGTTGTTTTAGAACGAAATAGAATATTCCACAGAGACCTATGTGGCCTGCGAAGCCTAAAATATTCATATTTACTATCTGGCCTTTTACATAAAGAAAATGTCTGCTAATCCCTGTCCTCTCACCTAAAAAAAGAAATAATTAAGAGATTTTGATCAGAATGCTAAGAATAATGGGTGGATTGTAGAACTCTTACTATGCTCACATTTCTTGCTGGAATTCTAAATACTATCAAAAAACAGGGTTGTGAATGAATATTAAGGTACTACTTATAAAGTATTTGCTGTCTTCCCAATAGGTATTGTCAACCCAACAACCAAGGAAAACTGTTAACAGTCTCTGTGCACAATCAATTTATAGTCCACTGTAGCTCTCATATTTATATGGGCTAATAATTTCAGTTGTTTTGCAATTCTCAGACTATAAAATGAAAACAAGCAGGGCCAAGGAAAATAAATTCTTCATGCTCTTTTACACTGGTAGAAAGGTAAAGCAAATAACCAAACTCAAATTAGGACTTTAAGAATAAAGTGTGATTAGTATAAATGTCTCTTAAGGCAACTTTGACAGATACTGCATATACAGGTATATTGTGTTAACACCAATAGGTGGTCCAGTGATTCTTTTTTTTTTTTTTTTTTTTCCTTTTTGTCTTTTTTCGTGTCCGGCAACAGATCGCAACCCTCAGTGTCGCGCCTGGACTGGGACCGGCCAGGGGATCGCAACCCTCGGTGTTGCTCCCACACCTCGCTCAGCCAGTGAGCGGGAACCAGTCTGTATGTGGGATCCGAACCCTCGGCGGGAGCGCCACCGCGCTCCCAAGCGGAGCACTGTAGCAGTGCGCCACCGGGCCGGCCCAGTCCAGTGATTCTTAACCAGAGGATAACAGGATACATATGGAAATGTGTGGCGTGTTTCTGTTTGTCATCATGTTGGAAAGCACTACTGGCATTTTGTGGGTGAGGTCAAAAGACACTGAACATCCTGCAATGAGAAGGACAATCCTGCAAAGAATCGTCTCATTCAAAATGCCAATAATCACCTGGTTAAAAATAACACAGTGATTGGTATACTTTTGAATAACGTCCCTTTCACAAGCAAATAGCATTACGTAGATCAAAAAAAAAAAAAAAAACCAAAGTGAGATAAAAGTAGGTGAAAAATAATATGGTTCTGAGAATTGCATTCTCATTCCTTTTCTGTTACTATAATCTAAGACTGATGGAAAGAAAGGGAAATAGATGAACTTGGCTTAGATCTGAAGGAAAAAAAAGTTCCTCTTTCTGTAACAACTGCTGGGTTCCCATAATCTCATTAAGCACAAAATTGTCAGAGGCTAAGGACAACAGAAGGGTTAAAAAACCACATAGTTCCGCATAGGAAATTGTCCGTTTACTCTCTAAAGAAAATCTTTCTGAACCTCACCAAGACCCATTTCTTCTACGTACCTCAAATTCATCTCCAATTTGTGTATCTTCTGGTGAAATTACTACAAGTGACATGCTACTTTGTGAAGTCTGTTTTTTTTGCTTGACTGACTGCCTTTCAGGTAGTTTTCTATTAAAATTAATTCTAACTTCTACTTGAACTATTAATTTCTATTAAATCATTAATTATGAAACCTAGAGAGTAAGACAGTTTGAAAGGTTTATAACAGCTGGGAAGCTGGTTATAAGTCTCTTCTGTCTCACATTCATTGTGCATATATTAACTGAGATAAACATAAAATGCCTTAGATCTCCTTTAATTCATCAACATGGCTACATTTTAATCAACATTCTAAAAGACTGGGAGGTGTCAGATCCATTAACCAAATCACATAGTTCAAATAGCAAGGAGTCTTGCAGTCCAAACACTTACAGACATGGGTGATCTGGACTGGAATCTGCAACGCTGTCATGGGGCTAGGAGAGATCGCTGAATTATCTTCCAAGCGGGCAACTCTGATCTGAACATGCTGTACACTGGAACTGGAATTACTGTTTGGAACTCCAGATCCTGATTTATTCTCCAAAAGCGTTGGGTTGTTTTTTTGGTTCTCATGTAACTGTTTAAGACCTTTTATTAAGACTGAAGGGAGATGGGTAGACAAAAAGAACATTGATTCTCTGACAGACCACAATCTAAACAGCAAGGTTGACCGGGATGGGGGCAAGGAGGAAATGTATTTGGAATAAATAATTGCATATTGAGTGTGAGATATTATCAGAATAACAATAAAAATATTTTAAAACCACAACCTATCCTGAAATTTTGGAAACGTTATCCATCATAACAAACTTTAAAAATTCTTAAGATAGGGGCCGGCCCAGTGGTGCACTGGATAAGTGCGCCGCTTGGGAAGCGCGGCAGCGCTCCCACCCGGGGGTTCGGATCCCACATACAGACCGGTTCCCGCTCACTGGCTGAGCGAGGCGCGGGAGCAACACCGAGGGTTGCGATCCCGTTGCCAGTCCCCGGTCCGGTACGGGGGCAACACTGAGGGTTGCGATCCGTTGCCGGACATGGAAAAAGACAAAAAAAGACAAAAAAAAAAAATTCTTAAGATAATATTGTTTCTCTTGCCATCTAAGATTTATAATGCTAAAAAACAAAAAGTGGACATTGTGAAGAACATGGAAATAGAATATTTTCTATGTCGTAGAGCTTCTTGATAGATAGCATTGTTAAGTACCTTATCTTCATTTTTTAAATGAATAATGCACATTTTTTCCCCCAACGACTCAAGGGCACTTGACTGTGTGGATCTACTCACAACTCCAGAGGTAGCAGATATCTTTTCCAAATAGTAATATGCAGCCACCTCAAGCTCTTGCAAAGGGAGACCACACTGGACTCTACTATTCATAAACTACATTAATCCTCTATTACTGTGTGATTAATTTTTAAAAGTCGCATTTTCCTGATTGGAAAGGATGAAGTCAAACTGTCCCTGTTTGCAGATGACATGATCTTATATATCGAACAGCCCAAATCATCTATTAAAAAACTCTTAGAGGTGATAAAAGAGTTCAGCACAGTAGCAGGATACAAAATCAACACACAAAAATCAGTAGCATTTCTTTTCACCAATAGTGAACAAGCAGAAAGAGAAATCAAGAAAGCCTGCCCATTCACAATAGCCGCCAAAAAAATAAAATACCTAGGAATTGAACTAACTAAGGACGTGAAAAATCTCTATAACGAGAACTACAAACCACTCCTGAGAGAAATTAGAGAGGATACAAAAAGATGGAAAGACATCCCATGCTCCTGGATTGGAAGAATCAATATAGTGAAAATGACTATACTACCCAAAGTAATATACAAATTCAATGCAATCCCCATCAAAATTCCTATGACATTTCTCTCAGAAATGGAAAGAACTATACAGTCATTTATCTGGAATAACAAAAGACCAAGAATAGCCAAAGCAACGCTGAGCAAAAAAAAATAAAGCTGGAGGTATTACTCTACCTGACTTTAAACTATACTACAAAGCCACAATAACCAAAACAGCATGGTACTGGTACAAAAACAGAGACACTGATCAATGGAATAGAACAGAACACCCAGAAAACAACCCACGCACTTACTGCCATTTGATCTTCGACAAAGGCACCAAGCCTATTCACTGGGGTCAGGACTCCCTCTTCAGCAAAGGGTGCTGGGATAACTGGATATCCATATGCAGGAGATTGAAACTAGACCCATACCTCTCACCATATACTAAAATCAACTCAAAATGGATTAAGGATTTAAATATACACCCCGAAACAATAAAACTTATTAAAGAAAACATAGGAGAAACCCTTCAGCAAATAGGGCTGGGCACAGACTTCATGAATTTTTTTTTTTTTTTTAGCTCCCACCAAGCAAACGGAAAGGACATTCTTGGGGGGGAGGGGAGAGAGGGAGGAGGGAGGGAGGTGTCGGTGACGGGCCATAATAATCATATACAGTGTATATTGACAAAATAAAATAAATAAATAAATAAATAATTAAAAAAAAAAATAAATAAAAGTCGCATTTTCATTAAGCCGGAGTTCCTCAGCATTTAGTTTTATTTTGGAAAAATGGAAGTTGGAACGCTATAGTAAGGGATTTTGTAACCTAAACCAAAAAGACTGTACAACTTAGTTTAGTGCCTAAATGCAAAACAGGCAACAAAATGAAAAGTATGAAAACCCAATTTAAGCTCTCTGGATTTACATAACAAATGAAATTAGAAATTAATAGAATCTTTGTTCCACAAAATAAATTATCACAGAATTTCTCTAAATAACATACCTGGTTAAAATACTTGAAATTATTCAACTCATGAGTTGATTTAAACTTAAGTTTTCGGAAGTACATCTTTATACAAAAATTCATTTCTTTTTTCATAGATTATGTGGAATAATAAGAATATGTGTAAAGTGTATATTTTCAACTTAGGGGCTTTGGGAATTACATATCACATTAAACTCTTCTCTAGAGAAGAAAAGAATCAATCACCCAAAGAAATAGGACACAAATTTAAATGAAAATCTGCTGTATCTCTTTAGCTAAAGCAAAGAACTTCTAACCTCTCACTCCTAAGGAGTAATACGGTAAGAGAAGGGAAGGACTTAAAAAGCAAATAATACATTACCAGGGAACGAAACATCCTTATGGTTTGCAATTTGCCTTTTGATGGTCCACCATTTACTTCGAAGCCATTGTGGTGAACGGACACTGCTCCATCCCTCAGCTAACAGATCCCAGTTTATGTCATTTTCATCAGCTACATCAAACTCCGCTATCCTACAGGTTACAAAATAAGCATTTGTTAGACATTAAATTTATTTCTCCATAAGATCCCTCCTCTGGCTAACAGGTGACGGATGGCATAGGCAATAAAGGAAATGGCAGGTTATGCCAACGAGATACTACTGTTACGTTGCATGGGAAAGGATTCCAGGAATGCAGACCTGCTTCCAGAGCTAAGAACTAAGAAATACCACCAGCAATAGCCTTTTATTAAAGGTACAACCAATGGGCTGAACTGTAAATGGTTAGAACCAGAAGAAGCACTGAAGGAAAGGGAGTAGACTAAAGGTTAAAATAGGATAAGAACAGGTTAAGTTGTACAGTGTTCTGCAATGTTTCATAGTTTGGCCTTTACTAAGTCAGTTATTTCCTGGATCTGAGCTTTTCCATTTGTAAAACAATATTTATAAATAAGCTATTGATAAAGATGACTAGTTGGAAAAAAACTGTATTAAAAGTAAAATCCAAAGGGCTGGCCAGTTAGCTCTGTTGGTTAGAGTGTCATGCTGATAACACGAAGGTCCTGGGTTTGATCCCTGTACTGGCCAGCCACCAAAAACCAAAACCAAACGAAAAGTAAAATCCTAAACAAAATGATAAAAACAACAGTACAACAAATTTGGGGTTTTAAAAGTATTTGTTTTTAGCTTTAACTAGTGATGACTTTTGACTTTCACTGGGGAGCAGCCACAATGAGAGTCTTTTTACTTTAGTGCCAAATATTTTCTTGCTGATTTCTGCCCATTTTAGTCACTGAATCTTAATAGTTAAACCAACTAATTAAAAAAATAAGCTTAGGATTATTAAAGGTATTTTTGAATTTGCATGAAATTAAAAAGTGTTTGAATTGGTCCATTTTGAAAATGAGGGAGTAGCTTAGACTGGTCCCCGCTTTTTGGCAATCTTAGCACAGTAGCCAAGGATTGAAGGGCATGGAGACTGAATAGCCCTCTTACCCTAAACATGTTTCCCCTAGGCTAGGACTGAGGCACATTGGTGGGACAGTGGAAAAGATGCACTGCCGCTGCCTGTGCCATACCTGTTCTGTGGATATAGAGAGGACTCTAGTCTCCATGCCTTCAATCTGGTACTTTGCATGAGGACTAAATCCACTAAAAAGGAACGAACACAAAACAAAAAAAAGCTCAATATGAAATACTTAGGACCTTAAACAGTGGCTCTCTATGGAAAGTATGGTTTTCAGACATTAGGCATCTAGGGAAACCAAAAGAGGAAAGTCAATCAAGACATCCACAGTAACTAGGCAGCTTTTGTCAATAAAAGATTTAAGATACAAACCTGAGAATGAGATTGATTTCATCTTCCTTGGTCCACTCAGTACCCCCACTCTGTTTCCAGTTCAGGTAGTTGAGCCATTTAGAACGACATTGCTTTTCTGAGCGGGTACCCACTCGTTCAGCCACAGCTGCCCAAGACACACCCTGTGTGACTATGTCACCTGGCTCAGTGCTTGTCAACTCATGAACCACCTCTGCAAGTCTCTTTTCTTCTTCTTCTGTCCACTTCCCTGAAAGAAGGAAATAATCCAGACTACCAATGCTATCTTCTTCTTTTACAAACCTGATTCAGCCCTGTATTTCCAAGGACTGATGGGAAGTATGCAGTAGTACTAAGAGTTTATTTCTGAATGATCCTCTGGTGGGAAACCACATGTACCTACTAAGACAGCTACATTTTTACTAACCATGTAAGGTTCTCAGTACAAAAGAAAATATAGAATCCTAAAGGAAAGCACTGACTGACTCTTTAAGGCAAGAAAAACCACCCAAAATATGACCACAAATAATTATGTACTCTCAAGTTATACTAAGTCTTTTATATATAAATAGTGAAGTAAGTAGGAAGATCTTCATTGATGGCTTGATGGCTACAGAAGCTCATATTTTTCTTACTCCCACCTAAGTTCCCTGCTCTGCAGAAGTGAAGTATGTAAATTCAAGAGGTCATTACTTACAGGAATGAATGATGAGGGACAAGTGGAATAACACCTATGGGCTTCCCACTGTTTTAGTAAAAACTAGGTTTATATCATCTTCTTTCCCCAATATCCCAACTTCAAGCTGTGATGAAATTATCAGTAAAGCCTGACACTGGTATTTATATATATTTTTATTCCTGGTTTTTCTGAACCCATAAATCCCACCAATAAATAATATCAAATGTTTCCTATGGAGCATGAGCTGAAAAACAGAAAGGAAAAAAAAAAAAAAAAAAGAGAATCTTATTTAAACCTCCTTTACTTCTGTTTCCATTTTGTTACCAGTAGCTAAAAACTTCTAGAAAATTGTAAAGAGTCTATGTGCTTGCTTCAGGGATTCATTCATTCAACAAATGTTTAGTGAATATATATTATGTGCTAGGCACAGTTCTGGTAAGTGTGGAGGGATTCAAGACAAAGTCCTACTTTCCTATTCTAGCATGATATGAAAGGAAGGTGAAAAAACTCTGAGATTGTGCTGTTTCATGGTGTGGCACACAGGAGAAAACTCCTGATCAGAAGCCAGATGGTGCAACATGAAAAGGAAGCAGGCAGATCAGTCCCTCAGGTTTGATGACAGTGTCCTTCCAGGCTTTATATTTTTATATTGTGCGTGTGTGTGTGTGTTTTCGGCAGCTGGCCGGTACAAGAATCAAACTCTGGATCTTGGTGTGTCAGCACCATGCTCTAACCAACTGAGCTAACTGGCCAGGTCTCTAGATTATATGAACAGAGGTGATTTTGTACTCATAGCATCTTACATAAACCTCTGGGGTCCCTGCTTCATTCCATTAAGCTAGGCATGCCACAGGATGGCAGAGTTGGTGGAATTTATGTTCACTGTCTTGCAGGTAACAGTGATGGTGGAGTAGTTAAATAGGAAACATTCTTGATTTCACTTTAGTAGGATGGGGGTGATGAGAATAAAAAATATATGTCCTAGAAGCTGAAGCTACACTTGAGAACTACTTTTTTTTTTTTTTTTTTTTTTATTGAAAGAGCATAGATGTGGATCCTTCAGGGAACATAAGGGGTAAAAGGGAACCATGATGTCATCTATTCTAACCTTTTCATTTTACAGAGGAGACTAAGGCTCAGAAAGGTTAAATGACAGTTAATCACAGTGCCTAAATACTGTTGTTGGTCACAAAGGTTAGGTTTAACATTATCATCAGTACATTTGTATACATTAAGAGGCATTTGTGGTCTGGCTTAGGGACTGAAACACCAATCATAAATTTTTTCTAGGAAAAATATACTTCAAGTTTGAAATAAGCAAAATACATACAAACCTCTGGAACACAGCTTCTTCCTAATTTAGGACTTACATGAGTTATTAAAAGCTGCCATTAACGTAAGTTCATCAGTTAGATGGATCTAAATTAAAATTATTTCCTGTATATATGCCACAAAAATAAATACTTTCCCAACTGGGGCTGAATTGGTATGAAACCGTAACATGCTAGACCTAAATCCCTTTGAAATGAAGACAGTGTTGTGTCTCTGTGAACAATGTCACTTTATACAAAAGCACAAAAACAAAGTAAATGATTAGTTGGGTCTATCTATTAAGCTGAAGAAAAAGGAAGACTAGAAAATAAAGTTTGAACTACAGTGAATGACAAATTTTTTCACAGAAGAGAAGGCAGGATCTGAAGGGGCAGGAGGCTCAAATGGTGACAAGAAAACCCCACCAGCAGCACTCACAGTACCTGTGTTGCAAGTATCCTTCATCAGTCGGCACCGATCTTTGACGGAAGATGCACTTCTTCCTAGCGCCGCCCCTATTGTTGCCCAGTCATTGCCATGCTTTATCCGGAGCCTAAAACAAGAGTCTGCCAATCAGCATTTGGTTCAACTGTTTTCTCCCTTTTAATTTCATCATTTATTCTTCATTCTTCTTCTTCCCATTTGACTGGTTTGGAAGTTGTGGGCAGCAATACTTTGAGAGCCAAAGTTTGAAAGTGTGGCCTTTTTTGGGGTCCACAGTTGTCTGTGGGTGAAAAAAAACAGGCAGCAATTGCCTTTTTCCTGGGTCAGAGAAGAAATAAGTAACTTGGATATGTGTTCAAAAAAGACCAAATTTCCCCTTTAGGTTACTGACACATCTCCTAGGCAAGCCCCAGATTGTTCCCTTTTGAACATATACCTAACAAGATCTTCAGACACCTGAAGTAGTTTCACAGGTCCTTATCAACATAAACAGGATCAACCCTCAACTTTTTTCATGAGCCGTACACTGCTTTAAACCACTTTATGGCTCTAACTCAATGAAGAAAAATTATGTGTCCTTGTAAATAGCCCTTATTTACAAGGCAGAGTCAGCCCAGATATTCAGTGAAACATTTGCCAAGTCACCATTCTAAACTAAGCCATGTAAGCACAACCTTGATCTTGATATTGATATATCAGTTTCCAAATTTAATCTTTAGTACACCAAAAATGGCCATCTAATCTCTTCTGCAACCCCTATCAATGGTCTGAGGAAGCATTTGGTGACTAACAACAGGTGACAATTTGTACATTATGGGCACAGCTACTCTGTGCAGGTATGGATCTGATAAGCTGTTTTTATGGTTGACCATGCTTAATAGCAGGATTAAATTATACCAGTCTGCCAAAAATCTCTTGATGTTTTCTAAGTAAAATGTTTAAAAACATAAAACTAAAAAACAAGCAACAATTAGAATTAATGAGAAAAACTTTAAAACTTACTCCTTGAGCTTCTCAATTTCTTCAGGTGTATATCTAGAAATTCAGAGAAATTAAAAAAAAATCAATTACAACAAGGCATGATAAAAACCTTAAAAAAAATCAGAATTTAATTTAGGGAGCTAAATGTTAAGTCACTTAGCATACTGATAATATTTTCTAAATAACCCATGTTAAAGTGGATTAATAAAAGTTAAATGCTTCTTTTTTTTTTTTTAAACACTTTTAGTTATAATAAAGGTAAAGCACTGCACAATTTCTTTAGGAAAATTCAACATTTAAAACATATATTTACTCCTATGCTACCTAACTCTTCATTTATTTCAAAGTTAGGTTCAGGCACTCTGAAATTACTATTCCAAAAGACTCAATAGATGACACTGTAAATCAGAGTTAAAAAGAAAATCTGTGGAAAATTCTCTCAAGGCACTGAAAAAATTAAAATTATCTTCATTTCTTGTACCTTTGCATGGACATCTGACATATTCTTGTTCTTTATTTTAGTGTGGAAGTACTTAATATAGCTCATGCAATGTTCTTTTTAAAAATGTCCATTTAATAATTATAAAAGGCTGCTCACTTTGTAACCATTGGTACTGCATAGAAAGTTTATGAATAGTTAACAAGTTAATTCGTGTTCTGCTTTAAAAAATTTGTCTTTCCACTGTCATAAATATATGATTTAATTCCCTTCAGCTTTCTTATTAGTAGGCTGGTGAAGAGCTACAGCAAAAGCAGCACCAGTAGCTTGGCAATATTTATTAGTAAACCATACTACTACCACCTAAAATTCCCAAAGAGAAATTAAAAATTATCAGTAACTCCCACATTATCATTGCACTAAAAAATCTTAATGATGCCTTCCCATAGAGCTACCTGTAACAAAAATCCATGTACTATTGCCAGAAATGCAGTTATTTTTACTTTTTAAATAAAACCAGAGTGGAAAAAGACTCATTGACCTAGGTAGGAATGCATTACTCCAAAAACAAACAGAAAAAGTGTTACCAGTGAATAAGTGTTCTTTTCATATTTCTTAAATCTTTAACCACTACTATACTTTTTATGTTACTTTATTACTTACTGTACTACCAAGCAGACTTTGACATATTAACTAAGCTAAGTCTTAAATCTAACCTATATAGGGTAATTTAGATTCTCATTTCTAAAAGAGGCCTTATATTATAATGAGGTTTCACCATATTCACAACACAGACCAGGAGGATAAAAATATTAACAGTAATTCATAGCTGTCTCCAATTAAAGCTTTGATCATATCTTTTTAAAAAATGACAATTTCTTAAATATTTCCCCTAATTACATGAAAACATGCAGCATTACAAGTTTTCATACTTTCCCACATGGTTTCTGTCATCATACATGCGAAGCACTCTTCTATAAACTGCAAACAAAGGCCGGTTCAAACCCCATGCTATAGTCCTGTAGAAATCTTTTCTTTCGTCTTTTGACATCTCAAAGATGATTTCTGTAGCATCTTTTATTCCGCGTGCCTAAATGGGTTACATTTCTTTGATTTAGGGTTTCTGATAAAATGCATATGAATATACTCTGCTTTTAAAACTTGTTTTAGTGTTAAAGGTCACCAATACCATTTAGAAAAAAGAACATATTGTTAATTTACTAATAAATCAAATATAAACTTTAAAATGTTGCACGAAATAATAAAGTGATACTTAAGTACTCCAAAAATAAATGTACCAAATTCAATACAACTTCTATCAACTCCCTTAAAAAATATAAAAAATTAAAAATAAATCTAAAGAAAGCAGAAGGAAGAAAATTATAAAAGCAAAATTAATAGAATCAGGAATCAATAAAACACAGGAAGGATAAACAAACTTAGAAATTGGTTCTTTTGAAAAGATCCATTAAGATCAACAAAACTTCAAACAATAAACTTCTGGCCAAAAAAAAAAAAAGGACACAAACATTATTAGAAATGAAAAAATGGGGCCTAAGTAGAGATGCTACAGAGACTAGACAGGTAATAAAATACCATTATAAACAATTTTATGGCAATAAACATGAATTTAGATAAAAATGAATAAATTCCCCAAAAGTCAACTTACCAAAACTGACTTTTGAAGAGATACAAATTCAAATAGGCACAGACCATCAAAAAATTTAATCAGTTATTAATAATCTTCCCACAATGAAAACACCAGGCCCAGATGACATTACAGGTAAACCCTACCAAATAGTCAAAAGATGCATAATTCTGATCTTTAAAGAAAGTGGGGATACTTCCTTGCTCATTTTATCAGGCTAGTATAACCTCAATAGCAAAACCAGTCAAAACAGTCTCAGAAAAAAATTTTCAGGCCAAGTTCATTCATTAACACAGATCCCCAAATCCTGATAATATTTAGTACACTGAACTCAGCAATGTATAAAAAAGCTAACACAAGAATGCAAAAAGTGAGTTTTTCGCAGGGATAAAAGTTTGTGTTAATTTCAGAAAAATCATTAATACAATTAATCACATCAGTATATTTATGGAAAAAATGTAAAATCTTCTTTGTTTTTGGCAGCTGGACAGTACAGGGATTGAACCCTGGACCTTGGTGTTATCAGCACCATACTCTAACCAACTGAGCTAACTGGCCAGCCCCTAAAAATGTAAAATCTCAATAGATGTGGAAAAAGCATTTCATAAAATTCAATGTTTATATATGATAAAACTCTTAGGAAATTAGGATTTGCTGACAACCTGATAAAAGAAAAATATACAAATGGGATAAAGACTGGGAAAAAAAGAATCATTGGTAGATAATGGTATATAAATAGAAACCCAAACATCCATTAAAAATTATTTGTTTTAAAAAAACATTTTAGCAAGGTTGCTGGATACAAAATCACATAAAATCATTTGCATTTCTATATAAAGCTTATAAATTTTTTTTAAAGTTATCATTTACAATAGCATCAAAATAAAAAGCTTCAGGACTAAATCTTACGGAAGTTATGAAATTCCTTTATGGAGTCAAACATAAAACTTTATCAAAAGACATTCAAAAGGAACTAACTAAAATGAAGAGTTATATCATGTCTTTAATGGGAAGATGAAATACTGTAAAGATGTTAATTCCCGCAAAATTGATGTACAGATTCAATGCAATCCCAATAAAAATTCCATCAGAGTTTTTCATTCTCTGCAAGCTGATTCTAAATTTAAAAGAGAAGAGCAAAGGGCCAAGAACAGCTAAGACAATCATGAAGAGACTTGCCCCATCAGACACTGGAACTTCTCAAGACAGTGCTGTACTGGTGCAGGTATCAACAAAAAGAACCTGGAAACAAATTAGAAAACCTAGAAACAAATCTATGGAAGCTTGATTTAGGACAGAACAGACATTGTAGACTGGAAAAAAAGACAGATATTCCATAAACAATGCTGAGACACTTGTCATCTGTACAGAAAAATATATAATTGAAACCCTATTTCACATCTACAGAAAAAAAAATCAGCACGAAAGGCAAAATTACAAGACTTTTTAATAAGACAATATAAGAGAATATCTTCATGCCTTTGAGGTAGGGGAGGATTACTTAAACAAGTATGCTAAAAACAAAAGTAAAAAGATGATACATTTGACATTTAAATTAAGAATATTTGTTCATCAAATGACACCTAAAAAGAAGGAAAAGACAGGCTACTAAAATGGGACAAGATATCTCTAACACATATGACCAATAAAGCATTAGTATCCACATACATTAAGAATGTCTAGTAAAAGAAAAAGGTTAACTTCATAGAAAAATTGATAAAAGACAAACAGGAATTTCAAAGAAGAAATACAAATGGCCAACAAACACATAAAAATGGTATCAGAGAAGTAAAAAGTTAAATTATAATGAAATATCATTCACCCTCACCAGATTTGTACAAGTTAATAGCAAAAATACTAAAAAGAACCCAAACGACCATTAACTGTGGAAATAAATAATATGCAGTATATTCGCACAATGAAAATACAGCTAAACAAATCAACAGGGGATGGATATCAAAATCATAATACTGAGCAAAAGAAGCAAGTTACAGAATACCCAGGGAATGAATCTATTTATATAAATTTCAAAAACAGGTGAAACTACACTGGTATGCATTTTATACACTTTTGAATGTATAAAACTTCATAGTAAAGTTGCTAAATTTTAGAATGTTTTCTAAAATTTTTATGCCATTCCAATTCTGTAAATGATTAAACCTAAATATTTACTGAGAACCTACATGCAAGGCATTGTTTTGTAGGATGACCATTAATGAGATGAAAGATTCTTCTGCACTCCCACCTCCCACCGTGCTCTTGCTTGTGCCAGTTACTGTCATTTACCTTTTTACTCAAAATATGGAATATGTAATATTTAACTAACTGGAATCCTCTGAAGTGTAAAAATAGCTCTACAGTGCTCTTAGAAGAGTACTGCATAATAAAAAGCCTGGTCAAAATCTAACAAATTGCTCCCCTGCACGGGGCAGCTCTCTGGGAGGGCTGTGGCAGCGGTGACAGGGACAGCAGAGACCACCACTCCTCCTGCCTTGGATAAATTCCTAGAAGTGAAATTGCTAGGTCAAAGGATCCATGAGAGAATCGAAGTCACAGGGCAAAAGGATGCCCCCCCCCAACTGGAGAGTCAGACAGAGAATCCCAACTTATCGGAGCAGAAGCCTAGGAGCCGAAAGTGAGCTGGAGCCACTACTGAGGAGGAAAACATAAACCTCTTTCCAGCCAAGCAGACTAGCAGGGATTAGTACCCTTCCATCTGAAATAACTAAAGGACTGAACAAAAGAATGAAACAACAGTTCTCAAGACATTTGCCATCAAGCAACAAAAGACACTGATCCCTGAGAGACAGGAAACAAATCAGGTTGCTACTTTTGCTAAGAGGGCATCCATAACCCTGATGGTGTTTTCGTTCAAGATAAAGTGCTTTACTGCCTTTACTGATTAACTGAACAAATTCAGCTAATAATTTTAGTGACCCAAATCTAATCAATAATACCTTCCTTTGGAAATATCATGTGGTTTCATCAGCTTCTTTCCTTCTATGGGAAGGAAGCATGTAAAGTCCATGAAGCAATAAAACTTCCTGCTCTTATCACCAGAAAGATCTCTTTCAAAGATTCACCACAAGACTACTAGAGAGACTAATTTGTCTGAAGCATCATGTGTTGAACCAGCAGAAGTCATTTCTCACCTGTGCACTAACTAGACACAGTTACAATATTTTCAATTCTTTGAGCTCCAGAAGCCAGGGAGTGAGGTGAAAATCTGAAAATGTGGCCATGGACTGGTTCCTGGCATTGGATTATGCTCATTCTTTTTGCTTGGGGGACCGTGCTATTTTATATAGGTGGTCACTTGGTACAAGATAATGACCACCCTGATCACTCTAGCAGAGAACTGTCCAAGATTCTGGCAGAGCTTGAAGGCTTAAAACAATAGAATGAAGACTTGAGGCAAATGGCTGAATCTCTCTGGATAACAGAAGGCCCCATTGATCAGGGGCCAGCTACAGGAAGGATACTTGTTTTAGAAGAGCAGGTTGTTAAGGTCAAAGAACAGATTGAAAATTACAAGGAACAAACCAGATATCATCTGGGGAATGATCATGAAATCCTAAGAAAGACTGAAAATGGAGCTAAAGAGCTCCAATTTTTTCTATAGAATGAACTGAAGAAATTAAAGAATTTAGAAGGAAATGAACTCCAAAGAGAAGTAGATGAATTTCTTTCAGATTTAGGACATCATGAAAGTTTTGTAGGAAAATACAGATCTGAAGAGGATTTGAGTTGGATAGACTATGTGGTAGGTAAAAGAGAATTCTGGCTATTGACTTCTAATGGAATGTTTAATTTTAAGGTTTAGGTAATTTAATTAAATTACTTGAGAATTAAAAAAAAAATCAAATTATCTTTTTCCAAGATCAGCGCATCTTTTGGACATTTCCTATTCCTGACAATCCTATCATCATTCTCCTAATCACCCAAAATAAAAACTGTTAAGTTACTCCAACTATTTATTTTCCTTCTTTCCCAACATCTAGTCACCAGGCTTCCTTATAGACTACTTGCTCATCTGCCCTTTCCCTGCCAATTCTGTTCCTACCACTGTAGTTTAACTTCTTGCCACTCTCACCAGGTCTACTAAAATGGTTCTTTAAAAGGTCTCAAATTCTAATCACTTTCCTGCTTATTCATCATTAAATTGGAAGGGTCCTTGCAGATCATCTACTCCAATCCCCTAGATAAGAAACCAGCTCCTTAATTTCTAAAGTTCAGTGTTCTCACCACTTGTTACCTAAACCCATAGCATTTTCCAGTTTTAACTAAAGTGTATGTGACTAGTAGAAAACTTTAATTCACTTCTGTATACATTTTCAATGGTCACTGTATTTGTTTCTCTTAAAACAATAAACTTGGTGGATGGATCTGTATTAATTAGTAAAGAATTCAAGTTTTTTAACTCTCCATAGCTTACAAAGCTTAGCTTGGGAAGGCAGCAGTTAAAATTAATCGTAAGAATGTGGACATTCTAGGCAGCCATGTATTTATAATAGTGGAAAGTTCTAAACAATTCAACAATAGGAGAATGGTTAAATAAGTACTGTACACCCCCCTTCTCCAAATACTCCACTACAGGGATGGTCAGTAAGTCTCTAGAAAGATTTCCTTAAGAAGAGAAAGACATCTACCCCACTAATCTCTCACTTAACTAAACCTTTTTAATGCTTTTCATTTCCTGTAGGATTAGGTTCTAATTCTTTGGCCTGGACTTCAAAACCCAGTTTTCCAGAGGCTATTTATCTCGGTTCAAGTTAATGGGGTGAATTTAATGCGTCCTGGTTTTGATCTCTGATTTCTTGCCACTCAGCATTTACTCAAATGCTGTTCCCTCCAGTCCTACACTAGCCTAAGTTCTAACACTTCAAGGTTCAGTTCAAATCTTTGCTCTTCAAAAATTTTCCATAACTGTCCTAACTCTGAGAATAAACTATCCTTTCTCTGATTTCCTGCAGAACTCACAACAATGCATCACTCAGATGGTACATATAAAGCCTTGTATCACCCTTCTTCACCTGTTTTCAGCCTTTCCGAAAGCAAATACTGCATGTTAAGGCAATTCATAATAGTGCCTCAAAAATACTATGTTCAAATGTTATTTAATGGAGAGGACTAAACGAGAAATAAGCCTAAAAATAAAAATTCACTAAATTTTTAATATTTTTTTAAAAAGGGAAGGACTACTATGATGTAAATTCATCAAAAACAGATGCATATCTTAGGCTTTAGACAATATAAATTTAATTGATAGGCTGCTTGAAAATACAAGAGTTGAAGATGTTGAGAGGCTGTTAAGATTATGTCTAAACTTCAGGGTGGTAACTAAAGCAATAAAACTATTTTAAACTGAGAATTCAAAATTTGTTTAAAAATATTATAATATAATCATATACGTTAGACTTAAGCTACAACATATTAGCAAATCATTGTTAGAAAAATTAGTGGGGCCGGCCCGGTGGCGCACTGGATAGTGCGCCGCTTGGGAAGCGCGGCGGCGCTCCCGCCCGAGGGTTCGGATCCCACATACAGACCGGTTCCCGCTCACTGGCTGAGCGAGGCGCGGGAGCAACGCCGAGGGTTGCGATCCCGTTGCCGGTCCCCGGTCCGGTACGGGGGCAACACTGAGGGTTGCGATCCGTTGCCGGACACGGAAAAAGACAAAAGACAAAAGACAAAAAAAAAAGAAAAAAGAAAAAAGAAAAATTAGTGAAAAGCTCCTAATAAATATATAACATGCTGCTTAGATATTTTTGCAATTGTCACTAAACAAATTAGTGAAACATAAAAATATGCCATAAGATACCTTCAGGTAACGTTCAATATTGTTCATCAAAATATCAATTTCTTCCTTGGACCACATCCCCTGCTTCCATTTATGTCCTTTAAGAGAAAAAAAGTAATGTTATAAAAAATGTTACTCCTTGAGAGAAATAAAATACTGAAGATTTCCCTTGTGGTTAAATTACCAGTGGGAATAAAATATAGCTAATTTAATTTCTCACTCATCTGAAATCTGAAAGATCCCCAGGCAAAGTTGCTTTGGTAACCTATGGTTTTTAAGTAAGAATATATTTGAATACTAAAGACAGACAATGGTGACTAATAGATTTAAAAAATATTACTTCTCTTATCCTTTCAGCAGTATAGAACTGCTAGAAAGAAATTTCTAAAAATAAGAAAAGCCAAATCATGCTCAAAACTTGTTTGAAAAATTTTTCCAATGAAAAATAAATTTATTTTTCAAAAGAACATGTACAAAATATTCTAGGGCAAGGTAAACATAATACATTGAATACTAAGTGAATAATGTATTTTGGGTGTGGTATGGGGGGTTGGCTGACCAGTACAAGGATCAAACCCTGGACCTTGGTGCTATCAGCACCACACTCTAACCAAAAGAGCAAAAGACCAGCTCTGAGAATAATGTATTCTTAAAGAGTGTTTACTATACAATAGTTGAAAACAATTTATTTCTACTTCCCTTCCTTACTTCAGAATAGCATATGTGAATTCCCACTATTTTGGTATCAGCTTCCCCAGATATGTTTATGAGCATGGAAGTACCATAAACACTATGTTTCTTTAAGCCTCTAAGGCCATTTATCAGACCAGAGTTAGCAGACCCTTGAAAAGTCTTGACTTCTTACTCTCATAGGCAATAACTATTGTCTTTTAAATGCTGGTATGCATTTGTTCAAAAATTAACAAGACAAAATCTACTTCATATCAGAAAGAGAAAAATAATTACTAATTATTGAAAAACAAATGTTGATTTCATGGCCTCATTCAAAGTCATTCAGGGTCAAATTTAATTCAATTAGAAAAGCTCAATTACTGTAATGACTAAATCACAATGATGAAGGTCCAACTCAGAATCTCGATGACTGCAAGCCGTTTCTATCTTCATTTTTTCCACTGGACACTAAAATTCACAGTATATCTTACCTTTATTAGTCAGAGAATCCTTATCTTCTTTAGTTGTAAACCATGCTTGGCTAACTGCAGAAACTTCTTCATTACCCAAGGGAGATACTTCATCTAGTTGCTCATTTTGTAAAATCTTGAAAAGGTAACAGTTAAAAAAAAAGTAGCAGCTTGATTTAATACCCAACCTAATTCATCTTTGTTTATAATGCTAAGCATTATAAAACTCTAATATAGTAATATCAAATTCATTTGGTTTAGATATAGTAGAAAGTATATTCAATTTATAGAAAGACAGTATTTCCTCCTGTCTTTACTATGGCACTATGAAAACAAAATTATCTGCATTAACATAATATGACTTTCATTTAAGCAAGTAACTGTACTAGTGGCTTCAATTTTATATAATATGAGCTAAGATTCCATTAAGTATTTAAATCAATACATGATATTCAAAGCCATTTGTATATTTATATGTGTAAACTGAGCTCATACAGTTTTAATCAGTTCCAGATAGGAAAATAGAAATGCTAGGGTTGGTTGTTAGGACTGATTGGTTAATATCCTCACAAATAGTTTGCTGCCTGAGTAAACAGTCATCTGTAATGTAATCTCTTGCTAAACTTAAAGGATTAACAAGCTAAATCAAAAGATCTTATTGCAAAATCATGGTCTGCTTATTGTTTACTGACAACTTTGTTTTAGCCAACCTCTAGAGGTGATTCATAGCCTTATTAATGTATCTTCCTTTCACTTAAAGAAAGCTATAGTGTAAATGAGGAAGACTTGGCCGTATTGCTACTATATCAGGTATGAGCCTATCATAGACCAGTGTTAGGGGAGAGTCACATGTTTAGTGACCACTCAACCTAATTTAGTCTTAGGGCTGGATAAACTACTAAGCAATATCACTGACTGGAGATAAGTACTAAAAAAAGATTGGACTACTTCCTGAATAGAGCAGAAATTGAAGTTCTAACTTGAAAAAGAAATGAAACCCATCACACTTGGAAAGAGAGAAGCTGTCAGTGAAAAACTAAAGCACGTGAACAGCCATGTCTCTATTGTTGCCTACTTTATTTTTATATCTGGTGGCAATAAATGTATTTATGAGAGTGTTTTTAAATCGAGAGGCAAAAAGCTAGAAATCACCAGTATCAGTCTGAAGAATTTTATAGACCTATACTTATATGGCATACTTTTAAAGATTATTTTTTAAAAAGATCAAGAGAGACCTTTACAAAGCTGAGAATTGAGACAGACTAGATGATGTCTAGCGCCCCTTATATTCTGAAGATCACAATTCTATAAAATTTGACACAGGAGTTATACATCAGTAAGAGGTAAAACACAGAGCTATTAAATGACCTTGATACATACAATATCCACTTCGAAGAACTGTAATGTAGAAAATACTCTCAGATGATCTTTTAATCAGTTAGATAAGAGAATCAAATCACCATTTCCCAAAATGTGTCTAACTATGCAGCAGAGCCCACTCCATGAACCTTAGGAGTAAGCCTATCATGCTGATTAACTGCTATCTTTGGGCAAACACTTATTACTTTAGTCATATAGTATCAAACACGTAAATAGCCATCAAATGAGCAAATGATTAAGTGGTAGCAGTAATATTAAACACTACCGATAACATGAGTTTAGTCAGTACAGCAGAACACTTAGGTACCTCAAATCATACCTATCTATACTTAGTACATAGATATCAGTACATTTTACAGTATTTAACCCCTTTTCAGTACTTTATGTGTACATCTTTTACAATTACTCAGGCTTTATTTAGTATGCTGTTGCCTTTTCTTTTTTAAAAAGATGACTGGTAAGGGCCGGCCCGGTGGCGCACTGGATAAGTGCGCCGCTTGGGAAGCGCGGCGGCGCTCCCGCCCGAGGGTTCGGATCCCACATGCAGACCGGTTCCCACTCGCTGGCTGAGCGAGGCGCGGGAGCGACACCGAGGGTTGCGGTCCCGTTGCCGGTCCCCGGTCTGGTGCGGGGGCAACACTGAGGGTTGTGATCCGTTGCCGGACATGGAAAAAGACAAAAAAAAAAAAAAAAGATGACCGGTAAGGGGATCTTAACAGAGGATCCGAACTCACGGCCTCAGAACTATCAGCGCCACACTCTCCCGAGTTAGCCCCGGGGCTGGCCCCTGCTGTTGCTTTTTAAATGAAGCTTTTGTGACCTGTTGCAGGATTTCATGTCTGTAATACATACAGGTTTAGAAATCCAAAAGCAGATATTCAATCCACTAAAGATCTCTTGCAACCACAAGGTACTGCATGTATTGGGACTTTTTATGGTTTCTAATTATTTTTCAAATTATTCCTATCATTGAAATAAGACATAGTACACTAACTACTAAACTATGTCAAAGAGCTGCACCTGGTTTAAAAAGTACAGTAAGAAGCAGAGTACTTCTGAGCTTTTTAACTATGCTGATTTTCAATTCACAACCTAATGTTAATCTTATTAAACAAAAGTTAGAAAATTAGAAATTATTAAGTTTTTCATTCACTAAAACGGTAATAACAAACTAAGAGGCTAAATATTACATTATAATTCATTAACTCTTTCACAATAACAAAAGCAAACTTACAATTTAACTTATAATAAAGACTAACATTGCCACTGCTCAATATAATTACGTTGTAAACCAAATTGCATATATTTATAGTTACTTTTACTGTCCTAAAAATTGAATAGAAGTGAGACTACATACTCTTTGAATATGAAATGATTTTGGCAAGCTCCAATTTGAAGGAAAAATATGTTCTATTACTTTAAGCAGCTTGGAAAAAATTCCCTTCCAAATTACCCACTGAAATCCAAGGGCAGATTATGAGGATCTATAGCCTGGCTCAAACCTGTCTGAGCCACATTTGAGACTCACTCCTCTATAAATCCTATGATTCTGGAACTATTTTGAAGCTCATTACTGGCAAAAGGTTCATAATGCCCATACCTGAGGAGTCCTTAAGTCCCTGATGTTACCTATCAATTTGCAACTATTACACTTTTTAAATGAAGGGTCATTGTGATGCTTCATAAAAGAAAAATGCTACAATGCTCTACTTCAAAAATATCTTATTAAATATTGTATTAAATGAAGAGATGAAGCAACTTTTTAGGAGAAGTTACTAAAAAAGAAAGGCAGAATCACCCAGAGAAAAATGTATAAGTAAAATAAATTTAAGTTTCAGGGTATCTAACAGCGCAAGGAATTCTGATTACTTTTGGCAGAAGTAATGTAGGTAGGGCTTATATGAGACCATTAAAGAAGTTTCCCTAAGGGCCGACCCAGTGGCTCACTCGGGAGAGTGCGGCGCTGGGAGTGCAGCGGTGCTACCGCCGCGGGTTCAGATCCTATACAGGGATGGCCGGTGTGCTCACTGGCGCGCTCACTGGCTGAGCGCGGTGCAGACGACACCAAGCCAAGGGTTGCGATCCCCTTACTGGTCGCAAAAAAAAAAAAAAAAAAGAAGTTTGACTAAGAAAAAACAGTAAGGCCCGATTTCTATCCAACCTCTCAACATGTGGTAAAATGTATCTACTCCTACAAGCACCAAAATGAAAAGTACTACCACAACTACAACTACTGTTATTTAACAGCTCAAGTAAGATAACTACATGTAGATAATGAATACACATGCATCATCTCCAGTTCCACTCTACGGGAAATGAATTTTAAAAATCTATCTTTGCTTACAACTGAGACTCCTATGTGGGGACTGGAAACCTGAATGAAGTAATAGTCTTAAATTAATGGGTTTCTTTTAGGCTTTTTTTTTTTTTTAAAGAAAATGAAATTTCATTAATATCAGTTTTTACATTCTAGGATGTTGTTGCGGAACAGTGGGGAGGGAGGGGACAGGGGAAAGGGAAAGGAAATGGGATGGAAAGAGGGAGGAGGAGGGAGAGGAGAGGTGGGATTAAGACCTGTGGAATCACCCCCTCATTTCCACAAGGGAGACCAGGGAGCTTCCAGTCGTGGCTTGGTCATTGCTGGGCTGGGTGCAGATGTCAGGGGGGTGTGGAAAAGCCCTCACTCTGCACTGTCCCAGCTTGGGAACCCAGGGCCCTTCTTGCTGCAGCTTGGTGGTTGTCGCCTGTCGCTTTGCTGATTGCACGTGTGTGGGGGCGTGGCTAAGGGCCACTCCCACCCCCCTGCTGGGAGAGCCTGGCGCGCTTCCTGCAGTGGCTTGGTGGTCATCACTGGGATGGTTGCATGCATTGGGGATGAGTGGCTGAGTCCCTGGCCCTCCACCACCCCAGGTCAGGAGAGACTGGGGTACTCCTGTGGTGGCTCAGTGGTCACTCACTGCTGGTCTGGCTACAGGTGTCAGGGTGGCGTGGCTGAGGCCCTCAACCCCCACCCTTGGGATTGGTTGCGGATGCTGGGGAGCATTGCTGATGCCCCTGGCCCTCCCCCTTTCTGGCTTGGTATCCCAAGGGACTTTCGGTTCTTCTGTGTTATAGGCATTCTTTGGTGAAGTGAGACCTTTACTAGTTAATATGAAACTTTGTCTCTGCTTGCAGGTACTTTGTTTTGTTCTTTCAGTTCTGTGTTGGATTATTTTCTGTTCTCACCATTTAAACTCTGCGCTGGAACTAATTTGTTCTCCTTTGCTTACTTCTAAAATGGGGGAACTTCCTGTGGGGACCAGTACTTGAGCTGTGTGGTTAAGTTAGATTGCTGCTTTGCTGCTGATTCCCTAGGAAAGGCTTTTTGTGCAGCTCAGGTTTTAATGGTTGACTTTATAGGTACTTCCAGCTCTCGAGAGATCTGAAACTCTGGTCTGGGCCTAAGTCTTTTCATCAAACTGCAACCCATGCAATTCTTTATTCCTGATCAGTCTCCTCTGAGTGGTCCTTCACTGATAGGGGTGCAGATCAGCTGTTCTCCTGGTGGGCCTGTCTCACCCACCGCGCGTGCTGCAAACACTTCCCATGGGATAGGCCATGCGCTGGTCCCTTGCAATGACTCTCCGGCCTCTGAGTGGCTTCTTTTCTTCAGTTGTTATGGCTCCTTGCTCCTATGTGGGTCCACAGGAACCCTATCACTGGTCTTGCTGGCCTGGGGACCACGAAGGCCCTCTTCTCCCCTGCCACCTCCAAGCAATTTCATCTGGAGGGCACAGATGTGGCTTTTGCCGGCTTCTGCTCCATGTGCTCAGCAGCTCCGGCCTGGACATGGCTGGGGCTTGAAACGGTTTGGGTGTTTTTTTCTTTTCCTCTCATCGTGGCTTCTCCTGCCTTCATACACTCTGTAGGTCTCTCCTCCTCTTCCCCTGAGCTCTAGCGGCCCCAGCTTGGCTCTTGTTGCTTTTTTATAGTTGTAAATTGGTTGATTTGTGGGAGAGAGTGACACTGGGGGCCTTCTATTCCACCATCTTGACCGGAAGTCTGTCTTACCTTAATTTTGTGGTTGCTATTTTGTTTAGACAAAATACATTCTCATTATTTTATCACCTAAGCTATGTGTAAAGGATCATCCTCCTGAGGCCAGTTAAAAGATTTACTATACCTGGATCTGTGTCACAGTTCCCTCAGTAATCTCATCATCTGCCACTTCTGTGGTCGCAGTCATGGTCACCTCAAAGCTCTGATCATTTTCTGAAACTTCAAGAAAAGGAACAGTTCATCTCCAGAATAATAATGGCAAGTTCTAATTATTCTAAAAATATTCATGGAAAAAAGAATGTGAACATCTAATTTCCTAACATACTCCTTGTCAATACATCTCCATATTTATATATTCATTTGCTTAACAAATATTTATTGCGCATGTAATTAATACTAGATGTTGCTCTGGGTGCTGAGGATACAGCAGTGAGCAAAAGAAACGAAAATCCTGCCTTCCTGGAGTTTATATTTTAGCGAGAAAAGACACAAAATGAACAAGTTACTATATTGGATGGTGATTAGTAGTAAGGAGAAAAAAATAAAGCAGGAAAAGGAATGTGTTGCTGGTAGGAGAAGATCGTTAAAATTTTCAATAGGAAGCTAAGAAAAGTGACCAAGACTTGGAACAAAGTGAGGAAGAAAGCTAGTCATGCAGGTACCTTAAGGAAGAGCATTTCAAGGACAGCCAAGTGCAAAGACTCTGAGAAGAGGCATGTTGTGGAGTGTTCATGGCAACAGCAAAGAGGCCAGTGTGGCTAGAATAGACTAAGAACTGTAGGAGATTGTGTGGGGCCTTGCAGGCCACCTTAAAGACTTTGGCTTTGATTCTGAGGTGGGAAACCATTGGAAGATTATGAACAGAGTGATATAAACTGACTTTTAACAGGATCACTCTGGCTGCTATGGGGAAAATAGTCTGAAGGGCAGCATGGGCTGGAGTGAGATCGGTTAACAAGCTAACGCAATAATGCAAATAAGAGAGGTCAGTGGCTTACATTAGGATGAAGGCAAGTAAAAGTGGTAAGTAGTTCAAATCATGGAAATATATATATGTTTGTGTGTGTGTGTTGTGTATGTATATATATTTTTGGCAGCTGGCCAGTACAGGATTGAACCCTGGACCCTGGTGTTATCAGTACCACACTCTAACCAAGTGAGCGAACTGGCCAACCCTATTTTGATGGTAGAGCCAATATGATTTACAGACAAACCAAGTATGGGAGAAATTGAAGAATCAAGGATAACATTAAAGTTTTTATCCAAACTACTAGATAAATGGACCTGTCATTTGTGAGATAGGGAAGACTGTAGAAGAAGCAAATTTAAGGAAATTTGAAAGTTTCAGGAGCTCAGTGTTAAACACATTAGTTTAGGATATCTACTAAATGTCTGGAATCTAAGAGGAGAAGTATGGGCTGAAATAAATATGGAAGTCATCACTAGAGTTAGCATTTAACCATGAATTGAGATCACCTAGGAAGTGAGTAAAAACAGAAAGAAGCAGTCCAAGGACTGAGTCTTGGGGCACTCCATGTCTAGAGGTTCAGGTAATGTGGACAAGTCAGCATAAGGGACTGAGAAGGAATGAACAGAAAAGTAGAAAGAAAACCAGAGGAATATGTTCCTAGAATTCAAGTGACAGAATGTTTCAGAGTGGAGAGGGAGTGATAAATACTGTCAAAAGTTGCTGGCAGATCAAGTAAGACAAAGACTAAAAAAATGACCATTGGATTTAGCAACAAGAAGGACTCTGGAGACCTGGGAAAAAGAATTTTGGTTAAGGGGTCAAAGCCTAATTGCAATGGGTTTAAAGAAAAATGGGAGAAGACATGGAGGCAAGCACAGGTGATTCTTTCAAAGTATTCCATTAAAGGCAAGAAGAGAAACTGGACAGGAGCCAAAAAAAAAAAGTGGGCTAAAGGGACTTTCAATTTTAAAGAAAAAAATAGCAGTATGTCTATAATACAGGGGGAATGGTCCAGTAGAGAAGGAAAAATTAACGATTCAGGAGGGAGGGGAAGGAATTATTGGAACAGTGTCCTTGAGTAGGTAAAGGGGATGAAATCTCATAAACAGAAGAGCAGGCCTCAGCTAGGATAAAGTACAGAATATATGGCCACAGATGCAGGAGGGTGTGTAGTTGTGGTAGTAGGAACTTGTAGAAATTATTTTCTGGTTACTTCAATTTTCTCAGTGAAGTAGGAAACAAAGTTACCTGTTGAGAGTAAGAGAGGTGGAGGATGTCTTGACGGTTTCAGAACATACAAAATAGTCATCTCAGAGTGGGAGAAAAAACACTGGAGAAATATGGTATGATTTGTGGGTAACACTGTGAGTCCACTTCAGGTTAACAATTAGGAATTTGAAGTGAGACCAGTCAGCTTGCTTGTGCTGTTTTTCTCTAATCCTCTTCAATTAGCTGAACTTGTAGGTAGATAGGATTATAGTTTCACCAAAGAACAATGAAGTGAGAGATGGAAAAAGGATTTGAAGGAAAATGCAAGACTGTGATTATGATGATTAACTGTGAAATTGAAACGGGGTAAGGGGAAAGAAAAAATACAAGTGGAGAAGGAAAAAGTGACAAGGTCAATGGGTCCTAGTGGAGCAAAGAATTTCAGGAGTTAGAGTACTAGAGGAAGTGAGCTGGAAAGATAAACAGTGGTAGGAAAATGGTAAGTCTGAAATAGATCACAAATGGACTCCAGTAATAGGTAATGGCAAGAGTGGTAAAGGGAGTGATAGAGAACAAAAGGAATAAGAGGCTAAAGTATTGAAAGAACCATCTAAATGAATATCATCATCATATAGTTGTAACTATGAACAGGGGATGGAATAAATGTAGTGGTAGATGACTGTAAAAAAAAGTGGTCAGTAAGTGAGCTAGAATGACAAACATGAGAGTTAAGGTCGGATGCTGAGAGAATTTTTAAGGCCCAGACAGATAAATTTTATCAGTGTTATAAAACATGGAAAGAAAACCTGAACACTGAAATTAAACATACTTAAATCTTAAAAAACAAATTCATCTCCATGAAGTGACTGTCCAGCAAATGATTTGCTTAGTTCTACATGATGGTGCTGGATGTAGAACTTGATGCTTTTAATATAACTGTTTTTTCTTCATGTAGAAACTTTCCTAAGTTGATGTTATTAATACACTTTTCACAAATCCAGGGAACATGTAAATACTTTGAACCTACTTTTTATAAATTCAGTCTTATTGCTAAATATTAGGCTCCAGAATGTCTTGAACATGTGATGATGCTATGAACCAACATCAAGCAGCTCATGTGCTTTCATGTTAACATATTCATATTCTCAGTTTAAGTAAATGAGGGTATGAAGGATTTGGTTTAGCACCATAAAATAGAACAAAATACCAAGTGCGTTTGAACTTATGGCACTCTACTTTAACCAAATGAATTAACCAGTCATAATTTTGAGCAGACTTGAAAGTTTACTTTAGAAAATGTCCATATACAATTATATCTTTACAGATAGGCCAATCAAGTTTTAACACTGAATCACAACATAATGACAGTCAAATTAGGAAAGATTTAAAAAACATATGAATCATTATTAGGAGGAAAGATCATTTAATTAGAAATTTGTTATGCTTGCATATACCATAACTGGATGCAATATTAACATTAACACTGTTTTTTAATGAAGTCTCATAGTAAACTGAAATAAAAGTTTTGCTTCTGTTCAATTTAACAAGCAATTAACCTTAAATACTGAGTATATATCTATATATTAAGACATGATTTTCTATGCTGAAAACCCAGTCTTAGTTTTTTTCACCAGATGAAGATGTGATTCTGCCTGATGATGAATGCAAAATCAAAGTTCTCGGATCTGGAAAACTCTCCTTCATGCTAAGATTGCCACCAACCATGTGCCATGCCTATTGCCATGGACAAAGACATTAACTTCAGCTTTGTGCGTCACCACTCTTCAACAAGATTCCATATTCTTTGCTAAGCAAATCAGAAATACAACCTAACATTGCAGTTGGTATGCTGTAGTCTTTTGCCAATAGCAGTCCACTTGAAAATATACCTCCTCTAGAATCCAGTCTACTCTAAAAGACCCTGGAATATAAGCACGTTAAGAAGGTTCTTAGTGAGAACAACTAATTAATTAGGCTTCTATCTAACTTCCATGTAGTCATATACCACATCAAAGAGGCAGTACAGCACTGGGGTTAAGAGTATGTACTACAGGAATCAGAATGCCTGGACATGAGCTTATATAAGTTAACTGTATTTTTTCATGGGGGAGAGTATAATCAGGAAAAAATGTCTAAAAAGGCTCCTTATGGAGCAATAATAAAAAAAAAGGTTGAGAATATTAAATTTGGCAGTATATGTAAAAGCATTTAGAGTTATGCCTTGTACATAATAAACAGTAATAAGTATTAGTTTAAGAGTTTTTTTGGAGAGTTCCAGTCAAGATGGCAGAATAGACAGTCCCTGGCATCACTCTCTCCCACAAATCAACAAATTTACAACTATAAAAATATAACACAGCCAAGCTGGGGAGGCTGGAGCTCAGGGGAAGAGGAGGCGAGACCTATGGAACTCATGAAGGCAGGAGAAACCACAATGAGAGAAAGAAAAAACTGCTCTCAGTGTTTTGGCCCACGGCCGCTTTAATGCTGGAGCGCAAGGAGCAGGAGCAGGCAGAAGCCGCAGCTGTGCCCTTTAGATGGAGTTACTTGGAGGCGGAAGGGGAGAAGAGGACTCTGGTTGCCTCCAGGACAGCAAGACCACTAATAGGTTTCCTGTTAGACCCACACAGGAGCGAGGAGCGAGAATAGCTGAAAACGGGGAGCCATTCAGAGGCCGGTGAGTCAACGCAGGGGACTGGTGCAAGGCCCGTCCCATGGGAAGTGTTTAGAGCACAGGCAGTGGAGGAGACAGTTCCACCAGGAGAACACTGGGACACAGCAAAGACAGCCGATCTGCCCCCCAATCAGCACAGGACCACTCAGAGGAGACTGGTCAGGTATGCAGAATTGCATGGGGTGCAGTTTAATGAAAAAACTCAGGCCCAGATCAGTTTTTACAATACCTAGGTGCACTGAGTATCAGAGCCGGAAGGACCTATAAGGTCAACCATTAAACCCTGAGCTGCACAAAAAGTCTTCCCTAGGGAAACAGGAGCAAAGCAGCAATTTAGGTCAACCACACAGCTCAAGTACTCGTTCCTACAGGAAGTTCCCCTGTGTTAGAAATAAGCAAAGGACAAAAAAATAGTTTCAGCCCAGGCACAACACCAATGCCTTGGGGCCCACCCAGGGACCCAGGGCTAGCAGCTGGGGATTGGATACCCTTATCACAACCAGGCACACCATGACAGCACCTCAGGGCCCCATCCGGGGGCCCAAGGCATAGAGAAGGGGACCAGACCCTCCTCCTACAACCAGGCTCACCATGCCAGTACCTTGGGGCCCACCTAGGAACCTGGGGCATGAAGAAGGGGACTGGACCCCCCTCCCACAACCAGGCTCATCACGCCAGCAACTCAGGGTCCACCCAGGGACCTGGGGCATGAAGAAAGGGACCGGACCCCCTCCATACAACCAGGCTCACCACGTCAGCACCTCGGGGCCCACCCAGGGACCTGGGGCATGGAGAAGGGGACCAGACCCCCTCCACACAACCAGGCTCACCATGCCAGCACCTCGAGGCCTGCCTGGGGACCCGGGGCATGGAGCCAGACATCAGACTCCCCCCCACCCCCAACCAGGCTCACCATGCCAGTGCCTCGGGGACCACCTGGGGACCAGGGGCATGGAGAATGGGACTAGACCCCTTCCCACAACCAGGCACACCTCGCCAGTGCCTCGGCACCCACCTGGGGACCCAGGGCATGGAGAAGGGGACCGGATCCCCCTGCCACAACCAGGCACCCTGCATCAGCACCTTGGGACCCACCTGGGGACCTGGGGTTCGGACACTCTTCACAACCAGGCACAACGCCAGCACCAAGGAGCATGCCAAAAACATCTCCTCCATGTGGGTGGCCCACCACAGCCACCACGATAACCATGACTGCCACGAAGGCAGCTAGATGCCACAACCACCATGCAGATGGTCTGCCAGCCAGTGGAATGCGTTAACACAAGGAGAGTCACCAGCAGAGATAAAGAAAGGAGGAGGATGTCTCCCTCCACAGAGCCCATTTCAGAATGATGGAAGAGGCATCTGCTCTATGATAGTACTGGCATCACACCTCTCAGCACTGGACAGATCATTTGGGCAGCAAATCAACAGAGTAACCATTATTCTTTGAGAGGGTGAAAAGAAATCTAGGGTGATTGGGGGGGAGGGAAAGGGGGGTGGGGAGGGATTGGACAAGGGACATAAATAATAATTACAATTTGTAACAATATATATACTAGTAATATTGATTTGATCAACATATCTCAATGATGAACTCCCAAAATTTGTATAATCTATTTTGATTCAATAAAAAATTTTTTTTAAAAAAGAGTTTTTTTGGCTAAATGAAAAGTAATGAGTCCAAGGCTACCTAGAAGTGCCAAATAAATCTACTGCAAGCTAAAATTTGATTTCAAAAGAGAACCTTATATTCTTAATACATAGTGACTTACGTGGAAGTGCAACAACTGATATGCAAGGAGTAGAATCATCAATACTCCGATCATCCTCATAGGACAAACAAAGCCTTTTATGTGGAGGCTCAGTACTATCTTCTGAGTCTATTTCATCAGCTTCTAATAGAAGAAAAAACAAACAAACAAACCTAAACAAAAATCTCAGAAACTTCAAACCAATGAGGAAAAAAATGAAATCTCTAAGAGTAGTAATGACTCTACAACAATTTTCTTACCCATTAAAATAATCTCCTTACCCATTTGCTCATTTAGCTAAACCCAGTTGTAAAAACCAGACTCAAAAGGACATTGTGTTCTCTATGCCTAGTGCAGTACTCAGCTCCTATTCTTATGAAAAGGAACTACGAACAAAGGTGCCACCTTTTAAAGCATCATGCTTGGCTTTCTAAATGTTTTACATATAAAGACAAGGGCTGGTTATTTGATTCATTTGCAAATATTTATTTAATGCCTACTATGCATTAAGTGCTAGGATCAGAATAACGAAGGCTACCCTGTCAAGAAGCTCAAGTGTAGTGGATGGAGATAACTAAACTAACAATTTTTATATAGCGTAATAAGAGATATGATAGCAGAATGAAGAGGCTGTTATGGGAGCTCAGAGGACACACATTTAATTTAGACTGTTAGATGAGGGAAGGTTTCCTGGAGGAGGTGTCTTAAACTTGCAAGAAAAAGGAAGCCAGAGGAAAATTAATTACTCCTCCTGACACAGAAGCAATATGTATAGTGGTCCTGAGGTATGAAAAGCTCAAGATATGTTAGGAAAATAATAGCTATAAACTGATGGAACAAAGATATATAAAATGTGGTAGAAGGTGAGGCTGAGAAGAAAGCTGAAATGAAGGGAGGCCTATGTGCCAATTTAAAGCACCCGTACTATATTCTGAAAACAATGGGAAGCTTTAAAAAAACAAAAACAAAAACCTTATGCTACTGAGTATGACCAATTTCATCAGCAGTCTGAAAGATGGATTAGAGGTGGGAGACGAGTTAAAGGTACCCAGATAATAAATGAGAATCCGAACTAAGAAAGCAGGACTTGAAACAGAGGGAGGAATGGATTTAAGAAACAGTACTATCAACAAGCCTTCCCGATGGAATGAATGTGGGAGATAAGAGAAGGAATTTATTCCTAACCACATTTATGATCTGGAACACTCTCTAACGAAATTAACTGAGAAAGGAGAACAGAGAACTTGGTTTAGGAAGTATGTGAAAGAACTGTTTGAGACATGTGAAATTTAAGGTACCTACAAGAAGCACAGAAAATTCAGAATTAAGACATCTTAATAGGCGATGATGGCTAAAACCACAAGTTTGAATAAAATAACCCAGGTACTACGTACAAAGAGAAAAGAGAAGACAGAACCTAGTTGAAGTAAAGATAAAAGCAAAATAAATAATATAGAGTAGGAAGAGGAGTTACAATAAAAACACAAGCCTCAAGGCAGTTGAGTCTTAATTCATTACAGATGATCATTTTAAATCTTATTCAGATAGTTGTGTAAAATTCTCTAACACCGGTTCCAACACACAAAAAACGTCTATTTACATTGGCAAGACTACTTCTACACTGTTTTTTAAAATGTCTTTCACTGTACATGTTTATGAGGTATAGTTTGTTGTTACTATACATGCATATATTGTACAATGATCCAATCAGAATAGTTAGCATACCTATTACCTAAACATTTATCATTTCTTTGTGGTTATAACATTCAACATCCTTTTTTCTGGCTATTTTGAAATATGCAATATTATTAGCTATTGTCATCCTAGAGTACCAGAACTTATTCTTCCTATCTAACTGTTACTTTGTACAGGTCCACCATCGTTCCCCAACCCCCCCTCACCCCCAATTTTCTAACGTACTAAATATACTGATGGCACCAAATGCTATAAAAGAAAAAGTATATTATAATTATTTCATCATTAGCTTTGGAGTCTCCACAGATCCTATTTATAAGAGCAATGACACTGATAAAGGCTAAAATTTATAATAAATTTACAAACATAAAAGTATATTTTAAAAATATAAAAATAAAGAATATTAATTAAGATTAATTCATGATCCAGAGATAACCTCTTTTTCTGCTGTGCTAGCCTAAACTGTTTAGGTAACAGGGGTCAAAAGTGACATGGAATTCAGAATTCCAAAAAGAGTCACAATTATATATACATCAGCAAGTTCTCCTACCATTTTGAGGGCAATGAAGAATGAGGTTCCCTTCTGTGTCCTGAGTCAAAGTCACAGAGTTCACAGTTTCTACTGTTACTGTGTCAGAATCCTCTTCAACTGTGCTCATACTCAAATCTGTACAAGAACAGATTTCAGATTAGGATTTAAAAAACTTACTTCCAGATATAAACATAAAGGACCCGCCTGACCCTCAGTAACTCATAAATTTGAAATTGCAATGAGAGTTCAGATTTCAAAAATTGCCTTTCATAAGTTTATACCCTTTATTTAGAATTAGATTTAATAATCTGCAAGAATCGGGCCGGCCCGGTGGCGCACTGGGTAAGTGCGCCGCTTGGGAAGCGCGGTGGCGCTCCCGCCCGAGGGTTCGGATCCCGCATGCAGACCGGTTCCCGCTCACTGGCTGAGCGAGGCGCGGGGGCAGCACCGAGGGTTGCAGTCCCGTTGCCGGTCCCCGGTCCGGTACGGGGGCAACACTGAGGGTTGCGATCCGTTGCCGGACACGAAAAAAAAAAGACAAAAAAAAAATAATAATAATCTGCAAGAATCCAACTGCTCTGAACTAAATGACCAGCTTGCATTTACTTTTTAAAAAGAGTAGTTTTTACCACATCCAATGAAAAAAAATCTGTTTGAAGTTACTTGTCCTATCAGCAAAACTTTTACTACTCTTTGGTTAAGTTTTTGCTAGCAGCTTCATGATATATTCAAATAAGGGATCTTTAGCAGAAGATTCATCAAAACTTTTATCTTGATCTAAGAATTATTTTTTCAAAACACTTTTTACAGGTATTTAAGCTCTATTATCTGAAACACAGAAACACTAAGTCATTCTTCTTGCTGTTTTTTTCATAATATTAAATAAGTGTATACATCTGTCATTGATCAGATTGCTTTTCTAACAGATACAGAGTTAGGCCTTCTTTTGAAATAGAGAACTCATTTAAAGTGCCTTTCTCTGCTACTTTACACATATAGGAGTATTGCTTTCCTCTTGCTCAGACAGACTAAATAATCAGAGTCTTAGAATACAATATCTCATGGTTGGCAGGGGGAAATATATTGGATTACAATCAATGGCCTAGTTGAAGTCTTCAGAATCACTTTATAATGTTCAATGAAGTCCTTATCTCAATACTCACTTTTGTTCTTGTCTACACACTTTATTCCAACTAAATAATATAGAGAACATAGGCTTTGATGTGTATTCAATTAATCACTCAATAGTTATTTGACTCTTATGCACAAGATATTAGTCCATTCATATGTCTACCATCTAAATCAATATATTTTCCTTTGGTAGAAAAACTTAAATACATTAACATTTACACAGTGAAGATCCAATGATTCATTAAAATTTTATGATACTACTGTTTGAAAAGGATATCATTCATTTTACAATGGTAATGACGCCATTCCCAAAATAAAGATAAATGGAAATCATGATCTAGTTAAGACTAAAATTGGCAAATTATGAGGTGAGGTCCCTGAAACAAAGGAAGGCTTACCTAGACAACGGATGGATCAGCTACAGCCCTTCCCAGAGTCAAGTCGCATTCCCGTGGCCACCAGCATCACTTTCATGTTATCCAGATTGTTTCTCCCCCATGTTTCTATCTCTGCAACACTCTGAAAAAGTAACAGCATTACACAATTAGGCTTAATAAGACAAAACAATTAAGTGCTAGCATTATGCTGATGACACTCTGGCCTCAAGCCTCTGTGATGTCTCAACTAGAAGAGTAAGACAAAACCAGAATTTTTTTAAGTAGACCTTTTAGAAATCGGCCTGTAAAAGTATTCCCCAATGAGGAAAGGAGAGAAATGGTGACATCCTGTATCTACTAAGTTCATAGGCAGTTCCCATCCCAAGGTGTCCCTCATCAGGCAAACCTTCTCTGAAAAAACAGATTCAGCTATGCTAGTGGTTCTACGAACTGTAGCCCTTGTTACTATTATGTAAAATAATCTGGTGTGTACATCAACCAATATAGTACCATAAATACTACCAGTAACTATAGTTTTTCTTTATAATGATTTATTAACACCTCTTAGTAATACCATATTTTACCTTAAAGCATTAGAATTATATAATATCTAGGGCTGGCGAGTTAGCTCAGTTGGTTAGAGCATGGTGCTGATAACACCAGGGTCCAGGATTCAATCCTTGTACAGGCCAGCTGCAAAAAAAATATTATATAATATCTATTCAGAAACCATTTTAAGATGACAGGTGAACAACTCTATCCAGGAATCTGTAGGGGGGGAAAAAAGAAGATTCAGGACAGAAAAGATAAATCACAAAAAAGCTCTTGAATGCAATGTGAAACCTTACGAAATCTGAAATGATTGGTTTTTAAAGGTTTTTTTCAACCGGCTTCTCATCTTTATCCCAAAGGCATAGGATTTGAGGTTCAAAATGATGTTTTAGCAAAAATTAGGGATTAAAATCCCCATTTTTTCAGTATTAATTAGAATTCCTCTCCAGGTTATATTTAAGAATTGCTGTACATAAATAAATTTGCAGTGGAAGAGATAGAGATCCTGCTAGAGAAACCTCCAGTCAGCTATTACAGTTCACGTTATTTCTGAATCCATTAAATTTTTTTTAAAAAACTGGTCAGTAATAGCTATTCGAAAAGGTGTGAAAAAAATATTTTTTTAAAAAGGTTAAAATCATCCATGAACTTACTGAAAAATGAATTTCACATTCTTTCATGTGGTTCCTTCCAATCTTACACCCTTGGGGTGTGTATGTGTGACTATAATGTATATGCAATTTTATATCCTGTTTTTTAGAGTTCACTCACATTGAAAAGTATGAAGGAAACCAAGCTAGGCAGTTTTTTGTATCATTAAACTTATGCTACATAAAAATGTGACATTATTTATCAATTCCTCATCACTATTTTTTCCAGTTTTTAATTTCTTTAAAAACCATATTGAGATATACTTCTATAATCTATTTCCTGAAGCAACATTAATAAGTGAATTAGACCAAAGGATATGACAAAATTTAAAACTCTTAAATCATACAGCAATCTATTTTACAAGGTTGTACAAATTTATATCCCAAACATCAAGGTGTCAACTCTACTCCTGGTAACCTTGCCATTTTTATTTAAAAAGAAACTTCTAAGTAAAAAACAACACAACTTCTCATTTGGTAGGGGCAAAATAGTTACTGGTTCAGCATTTTAATGAATATCATCTCAGGACCCAAGTTAATATAAAACTCTGGGAAAAAGGAAAAATAAAGGTAGATTTGAGAAGATGTGGTGAGACATTTAAGAGTACTAGGAAAAAACGAATGAAATACCTAAACATGACAATCTGCATTGGTTAGAGGTGATTCCATGCAGTTTACAGCTTTAAATCAGAAATCCTGGTTCCTTTTTTTTTTTTAAAGTTCTGCAACTCATGTTAGAGATTAGTAAATGAAACAAAACAAAGAAACAAAAAAACTATAAAAATCATAGGTTGCGCTGACCAGATAGCTCAGTTGGTTAGAGCATGTCTTGTAACACCTAGGTAAAGGTACTGGCCAGCTGACACTGACACACTGACACACACACACATGCAGACACGCACGAAATAGGTTAGTAAATGATTTTACACTGCTTTGTAAATTAACAAGCATATTTGTTTAATCAACAAATGTATACCATATGTCTCCTATGTGCCAGGCACTGGGGATATAGTGGCCACTTTTTTTTTTCCAGTGTCATCTTAGATATGCTTGACTTTTTTTCCTGTAGTTAAAGCTATATGGTCAGTACATCTACTTATATTTAAGAAATTAGTTTTACTTTTAATAGGTAACACATTTACAGGGTTCAAAATTCAAAAGGTAAAGGTGTTTGTACAGTGAAATCTACTTCCTACTCTAGTTTCCCAGTCACTCGGTTCCCCTCCCTGGAGGTAAATGGTTATAACTTTCTCAGGTTTCCTTACGGTTGTTTTATGCGTACATAAGACAACATACGTATATATCCCTCTGTGCTACACACACCTTTTTTATAGAAATAGCATCATACTAATAAACACTTAACTGTGCCTTATTGGCTACTTTACATTGCCTCAACAGCAAGATGATGAGATACCACTCCAAGCACATAACTGCTAGTCGGCTTACTGATAAATAATAGCAAAAGTCCCTAAGATAGAACCTGATTTGGCCTGCTGGAGGAAAAAAAACACAGCCAGCATGGCAAAGCCTTCTGAGCAAGAGAGAAGTTAAGGTCAGAGACATAGGGGCAGGTGATGCAAGGCCTTGCAAATCTTTGAAGCGTTTTAAACTGGGAAATATAGTTTACCTTTTTAGCGGATCACTTATACTTCAGTAGAAAGAATGGATAAAGGAGTTAAGTTATGAAGACATGTTATTGTCTAAGAGATGATTGTGGTTTGGAAAGGTGGCAGCAATCAAAGAGGAGAGGCTGGACAGATACATTTTGGAGGCAGGGCCCACAGTATTTGTTGAATTAAAGGTTGGAGATGAAAAGAAGGGGAGCTATTTCAAGATGATTCCTAGGCTTTTGGCTTGAATCGTTAAATTTTGAGGTACTTCCTAGAGATATTTTATTATTTTTAATATTACTTAAATATAAGATATAAGCCATCCAAATGAAGATGTCAAGTTGACAGTTGGATATATAAACCGAAGCTCAAAAGGTAAGGATCAGACCTATAAATTAGAGTCAGTGGCATGCAAACTGTTTTTAAAGATTATTTAGAGAGGTTAGAGAAGATGGAGTCTAGATTCCAGTCGGAGAACACTCTATTACATTTGGAAGTCAACAAGAAGACAAGCAAAAGACTGAGAAGGACCAGCCAGTGATGTAGGAGGAAAACAAAGCCGTGTTAACTAAGAAGGATGACAGTGTTTTTCAATGAGCATTAAGTTGTCAATTGTGCTGAATACTGCTGAGAGGATAAGATGATAGTGACTATTTGATCTGGCAATATGGAGAAAAACTGGTGACTTTAACAAAAGCAGTTTCAGTATAGTAGTACTAGGGGCAAAAGCCCTACTGGAATATACAATTTAAAGTAGGGAAGAAAAGACAAACCACAGACACTTCTTTCTCAAGGTTTAGCTTTGAAGATAAGTAGAATGAGAAAAAGTGGGATCAAGACAGTTATTTAGAAGAATATATCAGTATTCTGATGTTAGACTGAGAAATGGTGCATAAATCAACTTAAGACAGTAGGGCAAAAAGTTGAGTAATTTAGTGCCTTTGTTCTAATTCATTACACATGAAACCACGTTGAACAACTTCTGGAGCCCTTCTCCATTTGCTTTATCAGGGAAACATCAAGATGATCTCCAACTCCACACCATCAAGTTTTTGGTCCTTTTTGGAACAAATATAAAACCAACCTGTTTCCATTTTCCCTTCTTTCTTTGTAATGGGTTATACCATATATTACTATTTTTACACCTACTAAAAATAAGAAGATATAATGGAGGAAAGAAAAATAAAATTTTAACAGCCATTTTAACCTGTGAAGTAGCCTTGAGGCATGTTTCCATCATTTGGTGGATATTTTTAAACAATACCACCCTAAGAAATCTTTTAAAATACCTGAAATGTGGTACAAAACATTTATGAGTTCTTACATATCTTTGCATTCAAATAAGAAATACGTTTGTTTTCATTTATAGCTCCCAAAGAACAAGATGACCCTATTTAATATACAATAACCTGCTAGAACAAAAAGAAAAGCGTAAGCATAAAAAAACCACTCTTGGATCTAACACAGAACTTAAATCAGTCATTCATATGCCAGTCTCCATTCCAGTACTGATGTAAAATTCTTATTCAATGGGTTATCTTAGACTGGTATTTCCATCAATTGAGTCTACATATTGTCCTGATTTTCTGGACAATTAATTGTCAAGCATCTTCTAAAAGCCAGAGCAAACCAAGGAAAGAAGTTACACTACTTCCTAGTTTGGGGGTGCTAATTCTGTAAACAGATTTCTATCAGTTCCCAAGCACAGCACTAGTACAGTGTGGAAGAGTAGATGCTATCAGTTGTGATCATGAGAAGCACAGGAGCCCACATTTGCTGACTCTAGATGCCTGAAGCTGTGATTCTAAATTGGAGGATGTGATGAGACTACACAGTACAAAAAACATGCAGTATTTTAAGATACTCTTATAATGGGACATCTAGCAAGTTATTGAACATATAGCACCACAATTTTATTGGGGAGTTAATGATTGAGAAACACTGACTTAGAGGCAAAGTCTCTAGTATAATTCAAATAAGGCAGTAAGGACACATTTAATTTTCAGATACCTTTTTTCCTGACCCAATATAGTATAATAATCCTTGATCTTCTTCCATGTCTTTTATCCATATATCAATACACCTACTTTTTAGTGTGTTTACAATATTGAGATCATACTGTCACATCTTTTATGTTTTTCACATTTACTGTATCAGGAGCATTTTCCAATATTATTATTTTTTTTCTTTTTTGGCAACTGGCTGGTACAGGGATCTGAACCCTAGACCTTGGTGTCATAGCACCATGCTCTAACCAACTGAGCTAACTGGCCAGCCCCCAATATTACTACTTATTCCACATTTTTAATGGGTACAGAGTATCTAAATTTATCTAACCAGTAACTATTACTGAACATTTTTGAGGTTATGCTATTATAAAAACTCCATATTGACCACCACCAACATACATAACGAATGCCTTAGGAAATACTAAAAAGGGGATTTGCTTAGTAATGTATAATAAAAACTTTGAAAGATATGTTTTAAAATATTTTTATTTTGAAAGAATGAAACTCTTTGCTAAACAGAAAATCTTAGTGGAAGATAATAAATTCCTTCATCTTGAACATGCGTACATAAAGGGATGTCAGGTAACAGACCAACAAGGCCACATAACAACATCTTCACAGGCATTGATTTTATTCAATATAGGAATAGGGATACCTCACAATTGAGTAGAATGCTTTGGACTATGGTCCCAGGCCCCTGGGGATTTGAGGACTCTATACTTTGTGGAAAAACTGCAAAAGCAGAGCTATAAGTTAAAATAAAGCACAATGAATTAAGGTACCTAATGTTCATTATGGCTTCGTTTTAAGATTGAAAAACATAACTGTACACCATGCCACAAAAGCTATTAATGGAGTCTACTCTAATAGCTTTAATTGCTTAAAGTATTGATTTCAATTATTTGACTAAAGAAAATTACTTGGTAATATGTGTCATTTTAAGGTGCAGCATTTCATACCTGCTTTGGCAATAAAATCATATCACTAGGTTTAGCTCATGTTATAAAGCAAATATGTTATTTTTCACCCAGTGCATGATTCAAGAGCTTATATTGTGTTTTTTAAGATTTCATCCATCCAAAACTAAGCACTTTCATGCATGGCACCATCAGGAGATCTTTAAAGGGAAATAAAAATTATCACCATATTCCCCTGATTTACACTGAAGTTAATTTTTAAAGCACACTTCCTCAGCCGATACTAAAACACACACAGGCAGTAAATAAACCTAATGAGCATTTATTCTGCTGCATAAACCTGATTGTAACTGAATACGTAGCTTTGACCACCAGTCAAAGAATGGCCTGACAACAGTGCATATACTAAAGTGATATAAAAAAAAAAAAAAAAGATGTCATTAAAAAAAAAGATTGTTCACAAAGAGCTCTCCAGTATGCTTTTTCTTGACAACTTCTTTCTGGTATTCAGTCACGGAATGGGCTATCTTTTCACAAACTTAAAAAAACAGACACAATCAACAGGTTATTCCTTTTATTTGAACTTATCATTTACCTTGACGGAATCAAAAGAGACACAAAACCTATTTGTAATTTCTATTACAAGAATTTTCACAAAACAAAAACAAACACCATAAAGACAAAAGGAGAAATGACATGAAAGGAAACCAATGCCATACACGTTTGATATGTATTTTTTTGTGGCTGGTTGGTCTGAGGATCTGAACCTTTGACGTTAAGTGTTACCAGCACCACTCTTACCAAGTGGGCTAACCAGCCAGCCTGTATTTTATATTTAACACTTGGCAATAGGTTTATCATTTTCTCAGATCATCATGTATCATTTAGAAATTTAAAAAAGCTTTTGGAGCTGAACTTGCAAAGCATTTAAAAGTGTACCAGTTCCTAGGGAATCCTTTTATATGGGAAAAAAAGTGCTGAAAATAACACTAAGAGAAAATAGACTATTAAAGTCTATCTTGAGAAGGCAGGATAACATCTCAGTGTTAAATAGGCAGCCTCTATACATAAAACAAAAAAAAGTGGAATAAACCCTTCCTAAATTTCGTTGCTGTACTAAAGTTTTGACGTCTTCGTAACAGATGTGTGTGTTTAATACAAGTGATCTAGGATCTCAATGCTTTTGAAAACACTAAGCACCCTCGATAATTTAACGTGTGAAGCTGTAAATCCTTAGGAACACTTGTTTTGCATTATCCTATTCATCCTCACAAATGTTAATTTAAGCCAATGTATTTAATGGAGCATGACAAAAACCAGCTGTTTAAGGTAATGAGATGTTATTTTTAGGACAATAAAAGTTTATTATGCCCTTAATAAAAATTAGAGTGTGTAGATGTTGGGGAGATAAATGAAGCTAATGGGTAAGCATTACATGGGGATGGTAAGGGCTAGGGTTTTTTTGTTCTTATTTAAATACTAACTAGTGATATCTAACTTAAACACTTGTCCTCCACCCCCACCCCCTGAAAGCACTCTTAGGGTGGACTTGGATAACCTTCCTGACTTTTTTCTTAAGCACCTGGAAAAAACACACCTACCTACTTTTGATATGATTCTCTACCGGTAACCTATTTCCCAACCATGCTCTGCTTTGAAAGCTCAAATCCTAACTCCAAAACTTTGATTTCTCCCCCTCAAAATACTTCTAAAACTTGAACACCCGGGGCCGGCCCGTGGCTCACTCGGGAGAGTGCGGTGCTGATAAAACTTGAACACCTAGAAAAAAGTGTTTCCATAGTATCTATTTATCCATCTAACAACTTAAAGTATGTACTTAAAAGTTCTAAGAATTATGCAATGCCCAGTACTTACTGGTTCAATGCTGATGAAGATAGGGCAATAGCAATTTGGCTCCACAATCTAGCTCAAATGTAATCAGTTAAAGAGATTCACATAGAATATGCAGGTTCTAGATCAGTCCCCAAAAGAATATTTTTGGGTAAGCCTATCAACTAAAACAGCAAAATAAAATAAAATATAAAGTTAGCTTTTTTGATGGCACATAAAAGCATCTAGTATGTGGGAGTTAAAATAATAAATTTATTATAAATCATGAAATGCATTTTTCTTTGTAACTGTTGCGAGTAACGGTGTTTTTTTTTTTTTTGACAGAATCAAGCTGTTTTTGTGCTTTGTGAATGGAAGAAAAATTTTATTTTCATGCCAAGTTGTATTCTCTCAGGATGACAATTATGGTAATGTTAATGTAAACGTGACCTTTTATTTTCTAAATCTTAAATTTCTAAATTTTAATGAAATACATGAAATCATTACTTCCATACCAAAGTAAAAAGCTAAGCGTCGGATCTTTAAATGCCAAGTTGTGCTAAATTACTCAAATTACAAAAATAATTACAATACAGTAATCCTCAAAGTTGCTTGGAACAAATTTAAACCGAGCATAAAGAAATCTTAAGTAAAGGAAATATATGAAAATCCTTAACTGAAGAAGAAAAATCGACTTTATGTTTGTAAAACTTTCAACATAATGGAAGAATATTTTCACTTGGAATGGAGCCTAAAACCTACACATGGTTTTCTTCCACGAGTTAAAAAATAGGTATAATAAAGAAAAAATTTCCAAGTGGCACTATTTTAATCTCAGACTTAATATTATAAAGTAATCCTACGGGATATGCATATTGTCGGATGTTCCAACAAGCAACCTCGCCTACTGTCGGAAAGGAGGTACACAACGATCCATCAAGTTCTGAGAGAAGCAACCACACAAATTCAATGAGGGAAAGGGAGAAGGAATCCTGACTTACATTTCATAGAATTATCACCCTTTCCTTATCTACACCGAATATTTTCATTATAAAAACATATGCTGTATCATTCAATTGTACAGAGCAGCACTTGGCCACTTATCTCAAATCCACTCTGGAGCCTGGGGTAAAACACTCTACCTACGTCCCTGAAGAGATTCTCAAAGCAAAGTCCACTTTATTTTAAAAATGTAAAAACTTCCTCGGAACTCGGCACGATGACAACTATTACTTTACAGACACATTTTTTCCGCCCGGTGAGGACTCCTTTCGAGAGATTCCTGCTGACAGAGACGGTTCGGCCAGCAATCCCGATTTCCCCAGCCTGGGCGAGTCTCAGCCCCCAAACACCGGAGAAGCGTTGCCTAAGACGCAAACGAGGTTTAAACAAAAAAACAAAAAAAACAGGGCAGGGGACCAGTTGGGGCGAGACCCGCCCCTACTTCTCAACCCCACCCAATCCCACCTCTTTCGTGGACCCTCACAACAAAACCGAAAAAGGTAACAAAAAATTTTTTAAAACACCCACAAGAAAACAAGCGAGACTTCCTCCCTGTCCCCACTCCCCTACCCAATTCTCTCCCAAAGCGCCAGGCCCACCCCACCCCCCCAGGGGTCCTGGCGCCATTTAGCTCCTCCGAAGCCGCCGCCATTTTCCGCCCCCGCCGGCTCGCCGCTGTGCTTCGACTGCCGCTCGATCTCCTGCTCTGCAGCCCGAGCCACCGCCGCCAGCCTGGCCCTGAGAGGAAGGCCCTGGCCTGGGCGTGCAGGGACGATAGCTTCAGCGTCACGAAGGCCCGGCTCCGACCCTACCCGCGGTGCCCGAGCGCCGACAGCTTCCTTCGATCGGCGGGAGCTAGCGGGCAACAAGGGGGCCGGACAGGCTCCACTGGGCGGAGCGGCCCTAGCGGCAGTTGGGACCTGAAGGTTCCATCGCACTTACTTCCTGTTTTGGGTCCGGGCACTTTGGAAGAACCAGGATGGAGGCTCCAAAAAATACCAGGATGGAGGAAGCAGCCACGGGCAAGAGTGGCTGCAGCTGGAGCGAGCGAGCGCGACAAGCCACCGGAAACGGAGCTACGGCCGCGCCCCGCCCCCAGGTCCCCACACGCTCCCCCTCCCGCCCTCCCCTCTCGCGGGGCGGCCCTAAGCGCCGGCTGCTGGCGTCATTTCCGGCTAAGTCGGACTGTGAAAAAGGGCCTTGGTTCTTGATGCGTCAGACCTCATCTGTGTGGCCGTAGATGTTTGCCGCTCTTCTCCTTTATTCTTCCTAGGGAATCTTGGCACCGACTATGACGCTGTTAACGTTATAAAGAAGGCCCTTCTCCTCGGGTGCAGCTATGGTCCCTTTGGCTCTGGGAACACTTAGGCCATGAGGGCCGCGTTTCCAGTGAATCGGAGAGGAGGGAGCCGCGTTGTGGAAGGCATTGAACCCGGGCTCTTGAATGCAGAAGAAAACAGGGAGAGTGTGTCTGGTTCTTCAGGCTTGGTCTTCCTTGCCCAAGGCACTTGAAATGAGGCGTTTTCTGGTTGGGCGTGTGATGTAATTCTTGGTGAAAAGTGTCCTCTGTGCGTATGATCTCGCTACTGTACTAGGAAGATGCTACTCTGTTGTGTCCAGTCTCTTAAAGTACAGGTTCGATTACCAGGAGAGCTTTTAGAGAAGACCAGTCCTCGTGCCCCATCCCCAGGCCAATATTCCAAAATCTTTCTGAGACACGGGCGGAGATTTCGTTTGCTTTCGCTTTTGGAGTTCCACGGCAGGCCTTGTGAAGATGAGTGATATGAGTCCTATTACAATTCCTTTTATGATTCCAACCTCATTTTACTTGTTTATAGAATTAAATGTATTGTACTCAGCTTTCCTTTCTTTACTCGGGTGACAAGTTTTAAAAGTTTGACTTGGCTAATATTCTTGCATCCAACGATTGTGTAGAGACTCACAGTGGGTTTTTAGTATCAGTTGCGTAGGTCAAACGAAGACTGTCAGGAATATGTACATCCTAAAATGGTTTTAAGTAACTGATGAAGTTAAGACAGGATATTTTTGCCTTGTTTTAGCAGTTTGGATTGTTTTGTGCAATCCTGTTTTTTTAAAAATACAACGTGTAATTGGAAGACTAAGTGTAAGTGACACTAATTCATCAAAGAAACACTGGGGAAAAATAAGCAAACTACACATTCAAATAGGTTTAGGAAGATAAGTGTTTGCTTAGGTTTTCAGCCAAATGTACATAGTTTTCACCAATCCATGCAATTCTTTGGGAGTAACATTTTCACCAATGTTGCATTTCATAAAAATTAAAAATGTAAAACAACAATACCACTGCACACCTATCAGAACAGCCAAAAGCCAAAACACACCAAATACTGACAAGGTTGTGAAACAACAGGAATTCTCATCCACTGCCGGTGAGACTGCAAAATGGTATAGCCACTTTGGAAGACAGTTTGGATCCAGCAGTTGCTCCTTGTTATTCCCCAAATGAATTGAAAACTTAGTTCATATTAAAAGCCTGCATGCAATGTTTACAGCAGCTTGATTCGTAATTGTCAAAACTTGAAGCAACTAAGATATCCTTCAGTAAGTGAATGGATAAATAAATTGGTACATCCATACAATTGCGTTTTATTCAGCGCTAAAAAAAGAAGTGAGCTATAAAGTCATGAAAAGACATGGAGGAATCTTAAATACATATTACTAAGTGAAAGAAGCCATTCTGAAATAGCTATATATGATTCCAACTTTATGACATTCTGGAAAGGGCAAATATGGAGCCAGTAATATCAATCTTTGCCAGCAGTTAGGGGTAGGGGGAGATGAATAGGTGGAGCACAGAGGATTTTTAGGGCATTGAAATTACTCTGTGATACTATAAAGGTAGTTACATGCCATTATAGGTTTATCAAAACCCATAGAATGTGCAACGTGAAGAGTAAACCCTAAGGTAAACTATGGACTCTAGGTGTTAATTGTGTGTTGATGTAGGTTCACTGATTGTTAACAAATGTACCACTCTGGTGGGGGATATTGGTAGTGGGGAGACCACGTGCGTGTGTGCGGTCAGGAGGGTATATGGGATTTCTCTGTACTTCTTGCTCAGTTTTGCTGCCAACCTAAAATTGCTCTAAAAAATAATTTCTATTTTAAAATAAATATGAAAGGGCTAAATAAGACTTTGGATTTTGAACAGTGTGAGCCAACATTCTTTCAGTGCATATGTTTCAGTTAAATGCTTTACATATATTAAATTCATTTAATGTTCTCAAGTGTCAAATGCATCACTACAGTTATTACAAATGAATCCTATTTTACACATGAGCTAAAGAGAAGCGAAGGAATGTGTTCAAGAGGACACAGTAATTGGTAGAATCATAATTGAAGCCAGCTCTAGAGCCTATGTTCTGAAGTATGCTGTTGCAGCTCACAAAATACACTTTGGTAATAGTATTTTCATAATGAAAACAAATGATTACAACCAGTTTCCAATTCTTAACTAGAAGATGGACATGTCTGACTGATTTTCAAGAGTAAATGATAGAAGCAGCATTTTACTGTGTTGGTAACTTTATTACCAATTTGTGTTAGTCTCTGCATCCAACTGGAGTTATGACATATTCAGTTTTTAGTGAGTACATAAGTAACGTTTATGTAAGCAAGATTATGAGGCAGGATAGTATTATAGTATAAACGTTGGAGTCAGACCCGAGTGTGGATCTTTGCTCCATTTCTTAAGAGTAGGTATGGTTCTTCACCTCTTCAAGCTTTATTTACCTTAGAAAAAAGAAAGTAATAAGATCTACTTTTCAGAATACAATAGATAACATGCTTTGCACAGAACCTGACATACACAGTAAGCATTAAAAATGGAAACTAATAAACCCCTGAACAAGAAAAGCAATAAAGCTACTCAGTAGTTCTAATGAAATAATATATATGCAAAATTGCTGACGTTAACATTTATGAGAAAGTAATTCCTAATTAGCCACATTTTTCGTAAAGCATAACCTTATAGGATTCTTTTCACTAAGGCGTAAAATAGTGATATCTAAATTATAGTCTGGCTACCCATTCTCTTCTGCAAAACCTTAAATCAGCTTGCACTGTGCTGTTAATTCCCTAAAAATGTCAACTGCATCCTCATAATTAAACTCTCCCTTTCAGGGAGAGTTTCTTTGTTAACTAACTGTTCCCATGGTCAGTTGTTATTTACTTGGGGAAGACAAGTGTATTTTAATATTAGCTTATTATATATAATTTGAAAAGTAAATCTATTGTCATAATAACACTTCTATACCTTTAACTTGAATAATCAACATACAGCCTATCCATGTCACAATTAAATCCTGGAGCAAATTTCTGCAGTTATACTTCTACATTATCCTGCCTTACTAAGTCAATGTGTATCTATGGAATGTGTGAGATTTTGAATATTATCATAGGATTTACCTAATTAGGAATCAAATGTTTTATAGAAAAAAAATGAGAAACATTTCTATCCCAAACAGAAGTTATTATATTAGAAAAGTAATTATAGCACAGTTGTAATATTTCCTGCATTTCTGGTTATGATTAACTCTGTTGGACTCAAGATTTTTTATAACACCTTCAGTAACGTCATCAGTGATTGAATATTGATGAAATTACCTTTCTTTTATGAAAGGTTGATATATTGATATGAAAGTGTTTCCAATACTGAGAAGCAGGTTCTGTTGTTTCATGAGCATCTCATGTACTAGATGGTATGATTCAGAAAAAAATATGTAAAAGTTTTTGTTCAAAGTAAAAGAAAAATATGATTACTGAGTAATTTTCTTTCTACACAGCCTCTGAGTCTATTAAAACAGCTGATAAGTATACCCTGGAAGTTCTTCCAGAACTTCTGGAGAGCTGATAGGAATTCCTATGCTTATAGAGGAATGAATAAACTGTCCCTAGTTAGACCCACACACCAGGTTCTCCCATAGGCTTTCCTCTGGGCCTTACAGCACTCTATCTTATCTCTTTTCCCCGCTCTCTGTTTTGTGTCTTTGTCTCATTTCCACACTTTTTTTTAACCCCTCAACCTGGTTACCACCTCTTCATACTCTTTTCACTTTTTTTCTTTTGCAATAGATCTTTACTGAGACCTATTAATGGGATATTAGCAAAAATTGGTTCCTCTTCCAGTTAGGGGAATGGGAAGCTACAGCTTCAGTTACTTCCAGCTAACGAGGATAGAAGTTTTCATTCTGCCCTTGAATTTTGGTATGCAAAGCAAAACGGTTGTTAACTTTACTAAAATAGGGCCCAGACTCAGAGACCTGTTCCTTTATAATCTAGTATGGAAGAGAGAGGAACAATTTATTGGTAAGCCAAGAAATAATTGCCATTTTTTTATAAGTTCCAAGAAAGATACAAATTGGGTGCTCTGAAAGTGAATTTTATGTAGAGAGTGCAGAGCAAGTCTTTCTGAGGAGATATTTAAGCAGAAATTACAAAGGTGAGAAGGAAGCACCATAGTAGGGAGAGGGAGGTGGGAAGGCATTTCTCCAGCTAGCGCAGGAAGGAGTGAAATTTTAGAAAGCAGTAGGTCAATGTAATACTTACAGAATGGTGATAGTACAGCACTGCCAAGTGGTAGGCTAAGTCCCTTGCAGATGTTAACTGAATATATATTCTTTAAAATTCTATTCTATTGTGGTAAGAACATGTAACATGAGATCTACCTTCTCAATAAATTTTTACAGGTAAAATACATTATTGTTGACTATAGGTACAGTGTTGTACAGCAGATCACTAGAGCTTATTCATCTTGCTTGAAACTTTATGCCCACTGACTAGTAACTCCCCATTTCTCCGTGGCCCAATCCTGGTAACCACCATTCCATTCTTTGATTCTATGAATGCTACTATTTTAGATACCTCATATAAATAAAATCATGTAGTCTTTGTCTTTATGTGACTGGATTATTTCACTTAGAATAATGTCCTCCAGATTCATCCATGCTATTGCATATTGT